AGGGCACTGTATGACTCAACTTTATAGCTACGCAAATATATCCACATCCTAAATAGAATCAAATGAGGCCATGGAGTCCAAAGTCTTTATTTCAGAGTTGAGGACATCAGAGGTAGAGAAATAAACAGCCCAAAACATCCTGGGCCCGATCCGGTAATATTTCTAGACCACTGTGTCATAATCAAAGTTAAATCTTAAATCAACCGAAAATATCATATAATATAAAACGTAGCATCCGGATGCCTCATGTATCTTTGCTGTGTTTGCTATTCTGCACTTAATCTGCCCACATATATTTTATAATTTGTTCTTTAATGTATTCTAAGACTTCTGCTTATTCGTATTGAATGTGCTAATTCTTGTATTAGTCACTTTGGTGGTAAGTAAAAATAATCTCAATATGTTGGAGTCTGTCCATGGAGCTATCACCAGTGTGTTATATGTATATATGTATGTGGTTGTGTATCAATTAACGATGTATATTGAGTACTTTTCTGCTGAAGTCAGTGAGCATATACTATGCAATCGGGCTGTCTCCCCATGTAGGGATTGAAGGAATTTGCCTTCATCTATTAATTCATGAAACATGCCTTTTAATGAAACATGCTTATAGAAGGCTGTCCATGGTCAAGGAGGTGTCATTTCACCCGACATAGATCTGGGGAACCAGTCAGAGTATGGGTGGCTGAGAGAGCTCCAGTAGTAAGGAGAATAGGCCCTTGTAAACACAGAAAGTAGACCAGAACTCCCAGAAATTCCAGCTTATCACAGATGCCTTTTCTCCTTTGGACATCTGCATGATGTTGGCAGTGGTATGCAAAGCAGCACACACAGATGTATGTACATTCTAGCTGTCTGCTTTGTGGTGATTTTCCATTTTCTCCTATGAAGAAGGCCTGCTTCCAACCAGGATTTAATCATTCCATACAAAGTAATTCAATGGCTGTGACAATGTTTAAAAATGAATCATTCAAGATATGTAATTGTTTTATCGATAGTCTAAAACAGTAATTTTACCATATACTACAGGCCTGACATAGGTCTCACGAATTTGAGCACCAGTGGGTCCCTCGGCTAGGCCTGCAGATCTGGCTGAAACTGGCTCTCTGACATCACCTGAGGAGTCCCGGATAGTGAGAGAGCACAGGCCAGGCCAAGGGACTCCACCAGTGCATGATAGGGGCTGGGGAGGGACTCGGGAGGTTGGCCAGCTGAGGAGGGACCGCAGGAGGGCTCCTGGGCATGTCTGGCCCATCTTGCTCAGTCCTGATTGGCCAGACCCCTGCAGCAAGCTAACCTACTGGTCAGAGTGTGTGCCCCCTAGTGGTCAGTGCATGTCATAGTGAGTGGTTAAGTGGCCTTAGCATATCAATAGCATGTTATGCTTTGATAGGTTGAAGGGATGACTAGATGACCAGACACTTAGCATTTTAGGCTTTTATTATATAGGACTAGAGGCCTGATGCACAAAATTTGTGCAAGGGGGGTGTTCCTCAGATCAGCCTGCACTCTTTCCAATCAGGGACTCCTCAGGAGATGTCCGACTTGCAATTTGGGACCTCTGGCTACTAACTGCTCGCCTGCCTGCCTGCCTGATTATCCCTAATCCCTCTGCCTCTGCCTGCCAGCCTGATCATCCCTACCTTGCCCCCTGTTGGCCTGATCACCCCTAACCGGCTCTGTCTTGGCCGCCAATCTAAGATATAGTCTGGCCTCCCTCTGCAGGAGGCAACCTGGTAGTTCAGGGGAAGGTACTGCCCCCATTACCCTGCTTCTGCTGCCACTGCCCACCTGAGCTTAGGCCCTTCACAGCCTCTGCAGCTTTGTCTGGAAGGATATATAGAAGGTCATCCAGAAGACATCCACTCTAATTAGCATATTATTCTTTTATTAGTATAGATACATGTGCAAAGACATTTTTTTTCAGCAGAGGTAACTGAAGAAAAATTTGAAAAAATCTTTTAACATGTATGTAGTATATGTTAAATTAGAAAATAAATAGCCACCAAAAAGCACATACCTATGGCTATCCTATTTTGTGGAGACAAAAACAGAGTACAAAATGAAGCAAAAACATTTTTTTCATCTTTGTGAATTTATTGGAAGACTTGCAAAAATGTAAGATGCAAAAATGTAAAATATAAATTGCATTTGATTTACCTTTTTATTTTATTTTTAAAAATATATTTTTATAGATTTTAGAGAGAGATAGAAACATCAATGATGAGAAAGAATCATTGATTAGTTGCCTCCTGCACACCTCACTCTGGGGATCGAGCTTGCAACCAGGACATGAGCCCTGATTGAGGATTGAACTGTGACTTTCAACCACTGGGCCCTACTGTCTGGGTTGGTTTACCTTTTTAAAACTTCTTAATTGGAATAAATAAAATTAGTAAATTAAATTGCTCTGAAAGAATCTTGGATATGTGGTTCAATTATAGCTGACATAATTATGAGATCCTAACAATTTTGTTACCATTTTTAAGACTATTAATGATAGACTAGAGATAAAGACTAGGATGGCAATTCCAACTCCTTGCACCATAAAAGAGAAAGAAGTACTTTAATGTAAAAGAAATTGTAAAATAACACAAATACAAACCCCACCTTTTGTGCAGAGAGTATCAAGTAAAGTGAAATTACTATTTTAAATGATCAAATTTCAGGTGGGAAATTTTAAAATTTCAAAATGATGTTTGTTAAAAATACCTCTATCTTTCCCGTTCCCTATAACCATGCTAGACAGAGACATAACTGCGCTATCCACTTAAATTTATATCTATGTATTTGTGTAAAGTAACATTTAAATTTGATTAAAAATTTTCTGAATCAATTAAAGCAAAGTCATTACTATATTAAATTGAAAACCAAACATTGGCCATGATGAATATCTTAATTATCTTGAAAAATGAAATATGCAATATAATACGTTTAACAGTTATATTTGGAATTTTCCTAAATTTCCTATTTACGTAATAAACTGATTTATTACAACAGTGATATTTCTTTTTAAAAATAAAAGTTAAGCCGAAACCGGTTTGGCTCAGTGGAGAGCATAGGCCTGCGGACTGAAAGGTCCCAAGTTCGATTCCGGTCAAGGGCACCTATCTGGGTTGCAGGCACATCCCCGGTAGGAGGCAGCTGATTGATGTTTCTCTCTCATTGATGTTTCTAGCTCTCTATCCTTCTCCCTTCCTCTCTGTGAAAAATCAATAAAATATATTTTTTTAAAAAGTTAAAACTACCTAAAATGTTAAATTCGGATTTACAAATCATTATTGCCATCTGCTGGTTATACAGTTTCATTGCAATTTTTGCAAAAATTACCAATCAGGTCACTGAAAGACAAAAGGGAAAATGAAAACGGAGGTGAGGTATAGATATAGATGACTACATTCAAAATCTCTAAGTGAAAGAAGTCAATGATTTGCTAAATCATGAGATCGCTTCATTTCAAAGAGAATAAGGTAGGGTGAGAATATATTGTATAATGTCAAATTATAGTTTATTATTTTAATTGTCAGTTCACCACAGCATATATTTTAAGTTATTGTCGTTAATTAAGTAGGTAGCTAAATATGAGTGAAATTTTGTCTTCTCAAAATTAGTAGGTCAAAATAAGTGACTAATGGTAGAGACGTCACGAAATGATGAAAACATCATGTTTTAGTCAACTGAATAAAACCACTTTTTTCTTCCCCAACAAAACCCATTCTGCACTTAGTAAGAGGATGCCTAGTAATTTAGGCAACTGTTGGCCAGTTTTCTGAGTTAACCAATGAACCTAGAACTTGTATTACTGTTTAATAATTAGAACTAGCATATAACTTAATGTCAATCCAGGTAAGCAAAAAATTAAAACTACTATGCATCATTTTATTCTGAATATGATCAACCTAGAGCAAGATATAAAAACTTTTTTATTTTTAAGCACATACTAAGCTTTAGGTGCTTCAGCATTTTTCAGAGGAGGAAATAAATAGTAGATTGGCTAAACTATTAGGCTGTCACACACTGCTAATCCTCCATAGATGATTAAACTTTTAAGTAAACGGTTTGGACTGGAGCCTAGCCTATGGTTAATTCTACGTGTTCGCTATATATCTGAATCATATACCTATTTCCTGCTTCTTTTCCCTTTAACTCTAAACCATGAGTATATTTTCCTGTATCATTATTCATTTATTCAAAATGACTTCAGTCAACTTAGTAATGAATGCAGCAGTGTCCGCGTGTTCTACCATTTATTTGATGTGGAGGTTACTTCTAATTTTTAACTGATAGAAATGACAGTTAATGAACATTCTTTTTAAAAAATATATATATATTTCATTGATTTTCCCCAGAGAGGAAGGGCGAGGGACAGAGAGTTAGAAACGTGGATGAGAGAGAAACATCGACCAGCTGCCTCCTACAACCACCCCCCCACACCGGGAATGTGCCCGCAACCAATGCACATGCCCTTGACCGGAATCAAACCTGGGACTCTCCAGTCCGTAGGCTGATCTGTCCACTGAGCCAAACCGGTTTCGGCATGAACATTCTTATGATAAAAATGTTTTAATGATAAAAATGATCATATTTGTATTTTCCAGGGTAATAATATGCTTTATTCTCTTAGGACACTAGTGATCAAAAGACATGGGAAACTCCAGGCCACGAAAAAAAATGGGTTAAAAAGGGAAACCTAGGAAATGGAAGCCGCGCACGTGGGAGGCCGCGCACGTGGGAGGCCGCGCACGTGGGAGGCCGCGCACGTGGGAGGCCGCGCACGTGGGAGGCCGCGCACGTGGGAGGCCGCGCACGTGGGAGGCCGCGCACGTGGGAGGCCGCGCACGTGGGAGGCCGCGCACGTGGGAGGCGCCCGAGCAGCGCGGGCGCCTGGGCCTCACGCCCGCTCCAGGGGTCACAACGGCGGCGGGCCGAGTCGTTGAGGCGGCGCGCCCGGCCGGGCCCCGCGGGAGGGACGCGCTCCGTGGAGCAGGGACGATGAGAAGATGCCGCGGCAGAGGAGGAACCGATCCAAAGACGCCGCCTCGAAGGCGCGGCAGGCCTCTCCCCGCTGCACGCGGCCCCGGCGGCGGGGCCGGGCGGCCGGGGCCCGGGAGCCTGAGTGGGAGCGGCCGCCGCGGGCGGAGGCGGACAGGCCGGGGCCGCGCAGGCCCGTGAGCGGCGGCTCCCCGCCCGGGGGCGCCCGGCCCTGCTCCCCGCGGAGGCCCGGCAAGCCGAGGGCGCACAACTGCGTGCCGCTGGAGGGCCCCCCGGGCTCGCTCCTCGGGCGCTTCCAGGGCCTCGGCTTCGTCCTGGAGCAGCTGCGCCACAAGGTGCACCTGCTGCGGAGGCGCCAGCTCTCGCTCCGCACCACCGTGGGCCTAGGTGAGCGGGCCGGGGGCCGGGGGCCGGGGACCGGGGGCCTAGGTGAGCGGGCCGGGGGCCGGGGGCCGGGGACCGGGGGCCTAGGTGAGCGGGCCGGGGGCCGGGGGCCGGGGGCCGGGAGCCGGGGGCCGGGGGCCTAGGTGAGCGGGCCGGGGGCCGGGGGCCGGGGGCCGGGAACCGGGGACCGGGGCCGGGGGCCGGGGGCCCGGAGAGGGTGGGTGGGCCTTGAGGGCCAGGGCCCCGGCGAGCCTGTGGCCGCGGTGAAGGACTAGGTCCGGGGGGGACAGAGCCCCTTGTTGTAAAGCACTTGTCAGGGGTTCGGGGCCAGTGGACCCCACGAAGTATTTCAATCGGGCACCGCGTCACGGTTGTGAAAGGAGGGTGAGCCTCGGGGACAAACGTTGGGGAGGGGGTCAGGCCCCTGTGGGGAGCTCCGGGGAGAGGACAGTGAGGAGCCCGGTGCAGAGAAGGGCTGGGGCGGGGGGGCGGGGGGGGAGGGCGGATTAAGCGTCGGGGCGCTGGTGCCACGGGGTCTCCGCTGCGGCCACGCAGAGGCCGGTCTCGGTCGGAGGGAGGGAGGTCGGCTGCCATTCTCCGTCTCACCATGATCTCAGGGGGGATCGTGGGGGACGGGAGGGAGGGAGGGAGACAAGGAACGTGGTGAGGACTTTGGAAAGCCAGGCGGATTTAATCGGATGCTTTATTTCCCCTTTTCCCTTAACCGTGACTTGTGAGAGTTTTCACCAGGATGTGTGGTTGTCTGGAGAATAAGGAAGAAGATACAAATGTAGCTGAATAGGACAGTCTCTTTGCATTTTATTTGTGGGTTGTCTTTCATTGGTTTTGTGTTTGTTTTTGAAGAGAGAGAAACAGTGGCTGCCTCAGCTCGCCCCCACCGGAGTCTGCGCGGAAACCTTTTAGTGCCCAGGCCGAGGCGGCGCCCACTGAGCCACACGGGCCAGGGCCGTGTCTGTATTTATTATAAAGCCAACCGAGCCCTGTCAGAGGGGCGCCTGTTCCAAGCTGGGAGAGAAGGTGCAGGTTGAAGTTCAGAGCGGTCCAGAGTTGATTCTGTGTTAGTAAAAAGTGCCAACATGTGTAGTGAAGATCTACTTCTTCTGTGAAGAGCCACGTAGTAGGCCACATACAGTCTCCATTGTCTGTTCTTCCTCCTTATTTTTACCACCTTCAACAATGGAACTGGCCAGGGTGTCTCAGTCATTGAGCTGTGACCTGGGAGCCAGGAGGTCACAGTGTGATTCCCGCTCAGCCAGGGCTCATGCCCGAGTCGCAGGCTGGATCCCCAGTAGGGGGGGTGCAGGCAGCAGCCGATCCATGATTCTCATCATTGATGTTTCTATCTGTCCTTTTCCCTTTCCCTCTAAAAATCAATGAAGATACATTAAAACTATTTGCTTAAGTCACCATGCTCAGCTAGAGGACGGGAACAGACCAGGGCTGTAGTTTGCTGAGGATGGTGTGAAACAAGCAGGTTTTCGGAGGCGTACAGAGCAGCTGTGAGGAAGAGCCCAGGATGGCTAGGAATGTGGAGAAAGACTGAGAAGTGTGGTTGGGAGTCTTAATCATTGCCGTGTTTTGTTGTTGTTGTTATTATTAGTTGTGTTATTGATTTGCACTTATTTTGTTAGCCAAGTTGAGTAATTTTTTTGAATCTTTAAGAGGTTAGTGGTGTAGTCTGTAAAATGTATTGCCACGTGTATTTTGGGACAACCCTAAGACATATCATTATAGAACCTTGGCGTGGAGACAGGACATCAGGAAGAGCTAAGTTCACTCCTCTGTGACAGTAACAAAAAATGCTTGGAATATTATGAGAATCAACTTTTTCATATCTTCGGTAATTAACCAAAGATTTACAACACTCCACAATGGGTTTATTCAAGAAAAACTGCTGGAACCCTGTAAGAACAGGGGATTTGTGGTGGTTTAAGTTGGCTTCCTGCCATCCCTTCTCCCAGCTCCATGGTGCCCCTAAAAACAGAGTGCCAGCCCCCGGAGGGCTCAGCTAGTGTTTGGCGCTCCTCAGAAAGCCCGTCCTGCTTTGACCTGCCTGGCAGCTCCCTGTAAGCCTCACTCCCCACAGCGCTGACCTGGGGGCTCCCAGGCCCGGAGTCTGGGGGAGGGGCTCGGGGTGCTGCTGAGGACACATTTCCTGTCTCTGCCATCTTCTGATGAGCAGGAGGGGAAGTGGGCTGGGGGCTCCTGTGGCCAGAGTCACTTTAAGGAGGGAACTGGTCATGTGGTGCATATGTGATTCTTTTGTTAAAAGTTGATGTAAAGAAATAGAGAATAACAGTGATAATAAGAGAGAATGATACTGAGAAAAAAATGTCCAAATCATCAGGAATTTCATTACTTTTGCAAATTTTGTGAAGGAGACATGATCTCCCAAGTCTCCCCTTTTGCTCCACAAATCCCCCCTACAGAGGTAAGTGCTACTCACAATTTGTTTTGTGAGTTTCTGGATTTTTTCCTAATTTATGTAGACAGGATTAGCCACTTGGCTTGCGTGTTCTCAGTAGACACACAGGGAATGCATTTGAAATGGTTGGTTTGAGGGTATGCTATAATTATAATATAAAGCAACTTTTAATGACTTTATTTTTATTTTTCCAGGTGTCTTTGTGGGATTTATGCACTGGTAAGATTAGGTTCAGTTTGAAATAAATAAAAGCATATAATTAAAAATTGCCATCACTGTTACATACAATAAATCATAATATCTGGTATATGTATAGAACATCTGAATGTGTATCTTTATCAGTTGACACATACAGGTTACTTTTTGTTTTAACACTTTTTTGAAATCCTCACGCAAGGATATTTTTTTCATTGATCTTTAGAGAGCATGGAAGAGAGAGAAGCATCTGTGTGTTTGGTTGCCTCATGCATGAGGGCTCTGAGGAGCCTGCAACCAAGTTATGTGCTCTCAATCGGAATGGAACCTGGCAGACCAGCGCTCCACTAGGGCCAGATTATTTATTTATATTTTAAAAAAATATATATTTTATTGATTTTTTTACAGAGCGGAATGGAGAGGGGGAGAGAGTTAGAAACATTGATCAGCTGCCTCCTGCACACTCCCTACTGGGTTTGTGCCCGCAACTGAGGAACATGCCCTTGACCAGAATCAAACCTGGGACTCTTGAGTCCGAAGGCTGATGCTCTATCCACTGAGCCAAACTGGTAGGGCCAGATTACTTTATTAAAAACCTCATAATGTGAAGTAGCATTTACAAAATGGGTACATTAGGGGAATAGTAATTTATGCCTTAAAATATTTGTGCTTTACCAAAGGATTCACTCCTGTATTTCTTAAATATCTAGATTTTTCTTGTATACGCTGCATGTTTATTCCATCCAAAAAACTCCCTTACTGTACAGTGATGGTGTACGCTAGTTGACATAAGCTTAGATGTTACCTTTTAATAGCACCTGTCAATTGGAAATCAGGTAGAAATGAAGATCAAGACTCATGGTGGCAATACGGAGTTGAAAGAGACTTCAGTGCACATGAGCCTTATTTTGCACAAGCGATGTTTTTGGTAAAAATTATAGTAGTTTTCCTCTTACATATTGTTGTTTTTACCTGTGCTCTGGGATTTCTCTTCTTGGGAAGAATGGGATCTGTCCCCGGTCCCGTTGGGACAGTGCTATTCTGGCCATTTGGTCTGCATGGGACTTTGATGTTAGAACTCAGGCGGTAAGGGTAAGAAATACTCCTTGCAGCTATTGGTAGCCTGGCACCCGTCCCACGTGTAGCTGAAGGTGCGTGGAGACAGGGTTGGCACGTGGGATTTTGCTTTGTTTTCTGTTCGTTGGAAAGAGTCTGCCGTGTAAATGAAGGAAAGTGGATTGCTCCCTTTGCTTTCTGGACTCCTTTTGCTCAGCACACATGCCCGCATCTCCTCTGCCTGTAGCGGTTGCCTTCAGCTGCAACAATAAAACATCTTGATGTCCTGAGTTCTTGGACGCTTGAATGCTGACTCCTTATATGGAATTATCCTTATTTATAGTAGCTTTAATGTAAAGTAGTTTTATTTAAAATGACACCCCACAGGCTTTTCCACAGTGACAGAGACATTTCCAAAACCTGGCACATTGGAGGCACTTGTGGAATTAACAAACCCAAACTTAGCCTCTCTTCTGGCCCAGAGGCCTGGAGCCGAGTGACAGCCGTGTGCTGTGCTGGACTGAGTGCCTGAAGACAGACAAACCAGGAAACAAACTAGAAAGTTATTTCAGTGTTTACTGTAAAGATTTATTCTTTTTCCTTCTCATGATTTTGTACTTTGTCTAGAACTTAGTTATTTTAGGACTTGTCTGAAACGTGTTTTTATTATAATAGTGTGCTTTTTTTTTTCTTTCTAGGATACATTTATCAATACTTTTTGAAAATGATCGTCATTTTTCTCACCTCTCATCTTTGGAACGGGAAATGACTTTTCGCACCGAAATGGTTAAGTTCTTTATTTTCTAATGAATTAACTTATGGACTTGATTAGCGGGCAATTATGAGGAACTGAAATGCGTTTTTGGTGAACTGCCTTGTTCCTCAAGCTATGACTTAGTGTTATTACTCACATAGAAACTGTTTCAGGATTCTTTTACTTACCTCATTTTCTCTCCTCCTGTCCTGATACGGACTTCTCTTTAAGATAATAAAGGTCAGTTGTATTAGTTGAGGAAGAGGAGAACAAAGAAAATACTTAAGAAGTGACATAAGGCATCAGATATTATCAGAAATTCTTGCTGTCGGGTTGGAGTTGGGAGACCCCATGTTTTATCTAGCTTTTTCTCACCCTCCCCACCCCCCCTATTTTTTTAGCTCTTGACTTCAAGATAATCTCTTTTAAGATAGAACTTTAAAACCTCTAATATTTTTCTGTTATTTTGATATATAATCTGTAAAATGTAATACATGACTTATTACAGTCTTCTGCTATTATAATTTCATTAGCTCTAATGAGCTATAGAAGCCTTATCTTTCTCTACATCTCTTTATCCTAACCACTTTATAACATAATCACCTTAACTATTTCTCTACATTTAAACTTACAGAACTTATGAAAGAATAGCGCATTGATAACCTAAAAAGTATGCCATTTGAGTCTAAGAATGCAGTAGTAACAAGGAGGAATTAGGAAGCCTTATTATTAACCTTTTCCTACAGAAAAACTGTTCTGAAAGGAGTTATAAAAATAAATATGTTCAGATTTTATTCACATTGACAATTTGTGCCTCTTTAAGGGACTTTATTATTCCTACTTCAAGACCATTATTCAAGCACCTTCGTTTTTGGAAGGACTGTGGACGATTATGAACGACAGGCTCACTGAATATCCCCTTGTAATCAACACAGTGAAACGCTTCCATCTTTATCCAGAGGTGAGTAAAATTTGAGTGATTTAGGTTCTTTTTTTTTATTATTAGATAAAAATATTAGGTGAACACAATGATGTTTTATAAAGGAGGGGACCTTTAAAGTTTATTGGTTGTGTCTGTCCTTATAGTTGACTAGAGTATCAAATCCTCTCCTGGGTGTGTTTTAATCTGTCCTTCATTTATTGTTTGTGGAGTTAAGAATATCTTCATGTTTAATAGACATTTGAACTTACTTTTCTATCAATTATTTGTATTAATATTTGTCACCTGTTTAATGGCTATTTTCTTATTTGTGGGCATAATTTATATACTTTCTAGTGTAATTCTTAGTCATACATGCTGACATATCTTCCCTCATTCTGGCTGCTTTCTCTTCACTTAACCCTGTTGAGATGTGACTTTCATGTAGTAGAACATGCCATTTTGAGTATGCAGTTCTTTTAGTTATACACTTGACAGATGTATAAAACTGTATAACCAAACTGCCATTGAATTATAAAACATTGAAAATAATACCAACAAGTTCCCATGTGTGTCTTCCTGGTAAAATCAGATATATAATAATAGACTGATTTAGAAGTTTAATTGCCTTGGCACATATGTTAAGAATTGATTGACTATATTACATATGGACCTGTTTCTGGATTCCCTATTATTCTATTGTTCTCTATGTCCATATTTATGCCAATACCACACTGCTTTGATGCTTTTAACTTTATGGTAAGTTTTAAAACAAGGTAGTTCTCCAACTTCGTTTTTCCGTGTCAAAATTATGTTTCTATATAAATGTTAGAGTCAGTTTACCAGTTTCTCCAAAAATCTTGTTGAGATTTTGATTGGGATTGAATTGGATTTATACATATATTGGAAAGAATCGACATATTAATATTAAACCCTCCAATCCATGATGATGGTATATAGTAGATCTCCAGTCATTTTGTCTCAGCAGTATTTTGTATTTTTCAGCCATACAGTCTTCTATAAGTACTATTTTTACTATTGTAAACGGTAATATTTTAAATTTTTATTTTTGCATCTTTTGTTGCTTTTGTATAGAAGGTACAGTTGATTTTGAATAGATATCTAGTATCTGTCAACCTCTATCTTTTGATTGGTGTATTTTTAATGTAATTAATATGTTTGGGCTTAAGTCTGTAATTTTTGTTTTCTCTTCATTCTGGTTTTTCATTTCCCTCTTTTTCTGTCTTCCTGTGAGCTAGTTGTACATATTTTGGTATTCTTGATGTTCTGAGTTCTTTGACACTTGAAAGCTGACTATGAAGTAAATTCAAGGGCCTCAATAACATGTTATGAAATACTTCTATAAATCTTTGTATCTTGCTATTAATCATCATGTTTTAATATAGAATGTTATAATTGATTTTTATGGCTACTCTTATGTTAGAGTTGATTATAAGAGAATATTACAGGCATGTTGATTACATCAGAAATTCTTACAGATATTCATTACTCTATAATACATAAGTGTAGTTTATAATGTGTGTGCATAATTTTAAAATGACTGTTTCTCAAGAGAAATTGAAATACATTTGTCAAAGTTTATAATGTCTAAGGCAACCATCATGAACTGATATTTTGAAAACATTATGAAGATAATGTGTTTTTCTTCACTCTCTCCTTTGTTTTTATCTTTTGTAGGTGATTCTAGCCTTCTGGTATCGCACATTTGTGGGAATAATGGATTTATTTGGGATAGAAACTAAGACCTGCTGGAATGTCACAAGAGTCCAACCTCTGAGTGAAGTTGAAAGCTGTGAAGGCATGTTTATTTTTCTTTAAATGCTGCTATGTTGTCACTAATGTTGCATAAACATCTTATACTGTTATGATTTATTTTAAGAATTATTGTAAACTAGTGACTTATTTTATTAAAAGACTATAATTGATTCCTCTTTAAAGTAATTTTCTGAGAAGGCTATGTACTTACTAATATGAGTATTAATATACCTTAGTGCAAGGCAGTCCTGACATTAAGTCATTCCTTCCATTTCAGAATAAGATACAAAAAAAAAAGTTTAGGCTAGTTTAAATACATAAATGTGGGGATGTAGGTTAAACAGTGGAATATCTACCTGTGATAGTTAAAATAAAAATTTAGTTATGGAAACATAAAATCAGATATATAATAATAGACTGATTTAGAAGTATTTCCCACTCTTCATATGCACCTTCACTTTGGTATCTTACTCATAGAACCACTTTTGGAACAGGTCACGTTTTCCAGGATCTGTAATTGTTACTACCATTTAAGATGTGTGTGATTTTTCACTCTTACAGTCTACGTGTGATTCTGTCCCTTGAAACTGATATTCTAAGTCACATGTATCTACTTGCATAGCATTTACATAGTTGCTTTTCTCTTTATTTCTGCACATTCTTCACAACATGACTATTTAGTATATTTTATATATTTTTATGGATTTGTTTGCAATAACAGTCAACTCTCAGAATATTTTTATTGATTTTAGAGGGAGAGAGAAATAGAAACATCAGTGATGGGAAAGAATTATTGATCAGCTGCGTCCTGTATACCCCACATCGGGGATTGAGCTTGCAACCTGGGCATGTGCTCTGATTAGGAATCAAACCATGACCTCCTGATTCAAAGGTCGCCGCTCAACCACTGAGCCACACTGGCTGGGCTATTTACATTTTCTAAGTTCTGTCTTCTCAATCATTAAAAGTTACTTTTATAACAACTAATCTCATAGATTTGTTTTGAGGATTATGACATGAAGATTGTAAAGTACCTAGTCCACTGTGTGTTAAAATATTTTATACATGTCTATCTAGTCTTATGCATGGGATTCATTATATGTTAATGTTTAAGGTTCTGACTATAGACATAATGATGGATCAGATAACTTGGTTATCTCATATAGTCTAAATCTGTTCCTTGAGGTCAGGGCCCATATTCTGTTCATCCTAGGACCAAGCAAAAGATAATAACGCAATGGATTTTCTCTTGTAATTCATCAAGTGACTCTACAGACAGTTCCAGATACTAAGCAATAGCAGTACTTATTGCCCAAATAGAATGAAGCATCAACTAATTATTACAGTGTAATAATAATTAATTGGGGGAAAGTATAAATGTAGCCACATAAAGTATAAAATATGATGTAACTGATCTCATGTAAAGGGAAAGTACTAATGAACTATTAATAGAGCAGTGATCTGTAAAGCAAATACTTTCAGCACATTCATGAGTTCTTGATGGAAAAGCACTGCAATAATTATGTCCAGTTACTTTATAGTCATTTATTTATTAAATACTAAATGATCTGTGTCTTTTTAAAGGAATAGGAGAACCTGCTTGCTTTTATGTTGGTGTGATTTTTATTTTAAATGGAGTAATGATGTCGATGTTCTTCGTATATGGTGCTTGTCTGAGGTAAGACCACTGTATTATAAAATCTTGTTGTGGCTTATAAGGCCTGGCTGACATTTGTTGATTATATGTAAAGGATAATTAATGAGATCCATTTATTAGTAGGAACATTTGAATATTTTTTCAGCTTATTAATATAGTGAGTACAACACTTATTAGTATAGTGAATACAACAGTGAGAATGGATGAGAGCTGCGGCTACACACACCAACATGGACAAATCTTATAAAATTGAATGAACGAAGGCAGGCACAAAATGAAATCCTGCATAATTCCATTTGTACTAAACTTGAAAAAACATGAAAGTAAGTGACAGTGTGATATGTATGTGGAAGTGGCTACATTGATAATCACAGAAGTCAGGATAGTGTCTGTCTCAAGGGGTGACAAGTGGGGATCCGGGTGCCATCGGTTCTCTGTCTCAGTGACATGGTGGTAGTAGGGATGTCCACTTTATGATTACCCCATAAATTCTCTAGAATTGTTATGTACTTTCCTATATTTATGTCATACAGGAAAAATAGCCTGAAGCACATCACAGTTTTTTTGAGGCGGGGGGGAAAGGATTACCTAAGATTATGGTGTCAGGCTTAACGATGTTTTATTTTAGAAAGTAGTTTGTATATCTTTTGCTTTATTGAACATGGAAAATGTTACACAAGACCAAGACGTTTTAAAATTTATATTTTTCACTGCTGAGCAATGGCAACGTTATCGTCGTCTTTAAATTAGTTCATAGTTCTGGAATATCAAAGGAAGCTTCTGTCTTTAGGAAGTTTAAGTAGATAAAGCCAATGTTGGCCATCGGTGTTCACTGAGAGAAACAAGAGAAATGGGAATTTGTGGGGATATTTTGTTTTTCTTCCTGTGGCCACCCTCCCCCACCAGCACCAACGTGGAAAGCAGCTGCTCCATGTCTGTTGTTTTGGTGGCAAAGGCTAACATGTTAACATGCATATCTGACTTCATCACATGTACACTTAATGTCTTCCCTGTCCTTCTGATCAGTACAGGGAATTCTATAACCCTTTGCTTCGAAACAGCCCCTGGCATCTTACAATTATCACCACAGTTTAGTACTCCTATTGCCCCTCCACAGGACTTAATTTTTGTGTGTGTTCTCCTCTATTATTTATGTTGTCAGGTCTTGGTTCTACCAACATGTTCCTACTTTCTATGGTATATACAGTATTGTTCTTCTCAGACATTCCTTCTCTCAATTTCTTACTTTGCAAAATGCACCCTTTGAATTTGCTTTCGTGAAAACTTACTAAATGGCAAATCACTTCTCATTTGCTTTCCTCTGTTTTTTTTTTTTTTTTTAAATCCACATGATTTCTTCCTTTTTTAGTCATTTAGCCAATACTTATTGTCTTCCAAGCATGGAGCTACGGTTATAAGTGATGACCAACATACAGAGAAAAGTCAGCTTTAAGAAATGGTTCTCAACCGTGGATAGTTAACCTTGATCTGATTTTTTGTATTTTACATTGTTGTTTTCATTGGAACTCAAGAATATTTGAAGGAATGTAGACAGTTTAAAGTGACTGTTAAATGAAACTGTTAGACTCTTGTTTTCATCCCTTAGTCAAAAGACAAAAATCTGCCTCCATTCTGAATATTCAAATAATGCAATAGAGGCTCTGATGTGTGGCCTGTTATCTTATGTTCACATTCTATAAATTTTATTTAGAAAATAAATATAAAATTCAAATTATTTTATATGTACACTTTATATGTTTGTACATTCAACATTAAAACAACAACGTGTACTTTTTAAAATTTTTACTATTATTTTATATGGCTTAGTACTACCACATTTTAAATATGATTTTAAGTTCTAAGATAATCTTGTGTAACACTCCCTATATTTTTCATGAATTATGATTGTATACTTTCCTTACAGTGGGACTCACATTGGAGGTCTAATTACAGTATTGTGCTACTTTTTCAACCATGGAGAGGTTTGTTTCCTAGAAAATAATTTTTAAGAAATAGAAGGGGCTGTATAGGAACAAAAAAATATATCCATCAAAACAGTATATAAATTGCATATTACTTAGGACTTTGCAATACTTTAAAGAGCCTTGTGCTGTAAATTGACATTTAATCCTGTTGACCCACATTTTTACATAATTAGAATTTGTGACATGAAATGTCTTACCTGATTTTTAGTGTGTGCACTCACACACATATAATTCACAGAAAAGGGAAATACTGTACTTGCTGCACTTTGTATCTCATTTATTCCTACCAATGAGGCACTTTGTATCTCATTTATTCCTACCAATCCTTTTTGGGAAGATGGCTGTTATCCTCACAGAAGATTTGAAATAGAAATGTACAAAGGTTAAGATCTGTACCCAAGATTTCACATTCGCTACATGAGGCCGGGGTTCCCATTCACATCTGTCTGGCTCTAAAGCCTCATTTCTTCTCTTACATGATGCCGCTCCCTTTTCAGTACCACAAAATGCTGAATCAGAATAGAGCGCGTCCAGTTCCATACAACGGGATGTGCCACCTTAGGAGAGTTTGTAGAAAATGTTTAGAATAGGATCCATCCATCCAACTGACATGTGCCAGACTCTGTCAGGTGCTGAGGATGTGGCAGTGAAGAGAAGGGAGAGAATCCGAGGGCTGGTTTTTGTAAGCAAAATATGTAATATGTTATGCTTATATGTGGTATGACCTTTATTCATTATCACTGAGAAAGGTCGATGGTTAATTAAAGAAAATCTTTTAGACAAGGGAGTAATAAAATTATAGATAAATATATTAAATATAGTAACTTAAAAGCAAACGAATGCCTTGTTATTCACCAAATACATTCATGTGAAGAGATGATGCCTTGATGTTTGTGAGTTCCCGAGTTAACGTGGTTAGGTGTTTCCTGGGCGTGTGCACCTCTCCAAGCCTTGGGATGCCGCGTCATCCCTGCAGCGCTGGGATGCGGGTCTATTTTTCCTTCCCAGACTCTTACTGCTCCTCTTCCCACTATCCTGTTTGAACTTTGCATTTCCTACACGTGCATTTTCAGAAGTGAATGAGTGTGATATTAAAAGCACTAAAACCAGCCCAGCCATGATTTGGGGAAAAAAAATATTTTATTGATATCAGAGGAAGGAAGTAGAAAGAGAGAGAGAGAAACATCAATGAGAAGAGAGAATCATTGATTGGCTGCCTCCTAAATACTCCGTTAGGGATCGAGCCCACAATCCAGGCATGTGTTCTGACCTGAAATCGAACCGTGACCTGGCTCATAGGTTGAAGCTCAACGACTGAGCCACACTGGCCAGGCCCAGCCATAATTTTGAGATTAATTGTGTTTATTGCAATGGAATGGAAAGTGAATATGCCTTTAACTGGTTTCAGGCTACTCGCGTGATGTGGACTCCACCTCTCCGGGAAAGTTTCTCGTATCCATTTCTTGTACTTCAGATGTGCATTCTAACTTTGATCCTCAGGTAATTTTTATTTATGAAACAAATCTAAGTATATTATAAGGTACATTTCTTAAAAAATGCATCAACCTATTAAGTTATTCAAAAAGAAAAAGTTATTCAAATGTAGGTGCTGATATTTTAAATCACTTTTAAAATAAGTTAAATAGCCAATTAAGAAAATCTAAAATACTAAGTTTTCTATAACTACATGATGTTTTAATAAAAACATAAGTTTTTATGTGTATAGATTCCAAGGTTTTAAGGAAACTATTACTTTCTCCCCCTTCCAAGCTTATGTAATCCGACTTGTTTTCCCATCTGTGGTTTTGAGGGAACATGAATATATATTCTGAGAAAGGAGATGTCCCATACAAGGATGAACTTGGGAAATGCTAGGCTAGACAAGGAGCATATATATTTAGACATTTGTGAAAATTTCTTAACCACTGATGTTTCTAGCAGTTCCATCAGTTTATCTCCAGTGCTTTTCTTAGACACATTTATTTGTGTTGGAATTAATTTTTTAAGCTTTTCCAACTTGAAGAGGTCTGAGCAGCAGCAGCAACAACAAAAGTGTGAATAGTAGAATCCCATTAATACTTTTATCATAGAAGTAAGTTTCACACGTTAGTGAGCCCTCTCACTGAATGATATTTACGGATAAACAAAGCCTGGTATTTCTTTTCAGAGCTCTAATTCAGATAGTTTTATGCTAAACATTTTTATAACCCAAGTAGCATTTAAGTGCTTTTAAATGAGCTTTTAAAAGTGAACTGCATCTTGTCTTTTAGCAAGGAGGAGGGAATTGTTAGATGTGGCCATTTTGTTAGATGTGGTTAGTTGACCTGTTTAGGGGGCACACTCATTGGTGTCTGTTCTCTCCCCTAGATCCTCGCCCAGCAGCGGGAGGTACTTCATTGCGCTTTGCCTCTCCAACGTTGCCTTCATGCTCCCCTGGCAGTTTGCTCAGTTTATACTTTTTACGCAGGTAAGATGATTAAACCAATTCAAGTTGAATGCAAATGTACTTGGTTGTTTCTTTACCTGTGTTACAATGTGATTATATTTGTGCCCTGATAGGTTTAAAAAAAGTGGAGTAATTGTGAAGTTTAGATGTATGTGTGATTTTGAAATATAACAAATCGTATCATCTATAGTCTGCTGGTGTACTGCTTAGTTAGGCAGATGCTCATGGTCAGCATGCAAAAGGATTTTCCCGATTATTTGAATTCACACTTTTCTTGTTGGCATTGGACGTGAGCTCTGGAAACAAGTCTACCTGCAGACTGTCTCTGCCTTAGGAACTACGTTGGGCATATAAGACGACCCCCTAATTTTACAGTTAAAACATGTTTAGGCCTATATTCGCTATAGAAGACTACCCCCCCCCCCCATTTCAAAGAAAAGACTTACTTTGCCGTCAAGATGTGCAGGTAATTTTTGGTCTTTTGCCCCCGATTTTCGGTTGACTTTTTTTCATTTCAAAAGTCGTCTTATACGCCGGAAAATACTGTATGCAACATGGTAAGGGCCAATCCTATTCCTCATGGCGCGGCTTCTGCTCCAGCTTAAACATCAGCTATTTGGTCTGAAGCACAGTCTCGCTGGACACCATTTCTCAATTTTAATAATGATATTTCTTGAGCGAATTGAGACCATATCCTATTTACCTAAACAACTCAGTACTTTATGGCAAGAAGCTGATCTGAGTTTTTAAAAAATATGCATATTTTTTATTGGTTTCAGAGAGGAAGTGAGAGAGAGATGGAAACATGATGAGAGAGAATCATTGGCTGCCTTCTGCGCGCCCCCACTGGGGCTCAAGCCCACAACCTGGGCATGTGCCCTGCCCTGGAGTCACACTGTGACCTCCTGTCATAGGTCTATGCTCAACCACTGAGCCATGCTATAGAGGAGGATATCAGTAGATGTGACCATGAAATGTGTAAAGTCTAGGTCTGGATTTATGTTTTGTGCCCAGGTGTGCAAATCTTCCAGCACTGTTGGTTAAAAAGGCTATCATTTCTCCATGGAATTACCTTTGTTCCTCTGTCAAAGCTCAGTTGTCTATAATTGTGAGCAGCTGTTCCTGAGCTCTTATTCCTCTGGTCAGTTGTCTATTCTTTCTCCAATAGCGATATTGTATGTTTCAGTTACTGCCGCTTTGTAGTAAGTCTTTTTTTTTTTTTTTTTTTTTAATATATTTTATTGATTTTATACAGAGAGGAAGGGAGAGAGATAGAGAGAGTTAGAAACATCGATGTGGGAGAGTCATCGATCAGCTGCCTCTTGCACACCCCCTACTGGGGATATGCCCGCAACCAAGGTACATGCCCTTGACGGGAATCAAACCCGGGTCCCTTGAGTCCCCAAGCCGACGCTCTATCCATTGAGCCAAACCGGTTTCGGCTGTAGTAAGTCTTAAAGTCAGTTAGTCTCCAACTGCTTTTGAGAGTTTTCTCTTTGCCTTTGGCTTTGAGCAGTTTTTGCTATGATGTGCCTAAGTGTGGTCAGGTTTATTTATTCTAATTTATCCCTTGTTGGGGTTTGTAATAGTTTATAAATCAGTGCTTGATTTTTTTTTCCTATAAATTTTGGGAACTTCTCAGGTAAAACCTTTTTAAATATAGCTTTTACTTAATTCCCTTATCCCTTTCTGAGATGTAAAGTAAAATATATTAGATTTTTACAACATATACTCTACATCTCCCATGTTCTTGCATATATTATTCACCCCTTTGTCATTTTATGCTTTTTTCTAGATGTTTACTTCTGATCTGTCTTTCAGTTTGTCACTGGTTTAACCTGCTTTTAAACCCATTTTAACTTATTAATTTTGGTTATTACAGTGTCTAGTTGTATATTTTCAACTTGTTTCTTTCTTAAATGGCTTTCATGTACTCTCCTGGAATTTTCAACCCTATCTGTTATTTCCTTGCACATGTCAAACATAAAGTCATTGCCAGATGATGTCAGGCATGTTTTTAGTGATTTGTAAGCTAAGAGTAGTTTTTATATTTTTAAAGTGTTGTTAAAAAATAAAAGAGAACCATTGCCGGGTTTCTCGGTGTTTTACAGCATCAGCCCATGCACCAAAGGGTCAAGGGTCAAGGGCATGTACTTCAGTTGCAGGCTCGATCCCTGGCCCTGGCCGGAGTGCATGGGGGAGGCAACCAATTGATGTGTCTCTTTCACATCGATGTTTCTTCCTCTTATCTGTCTCCCTCCATCCACTATAAAAATCAATGGAAAAATATCTGTGGGTGAGGATTAGCAACAACAAAAACCAAGAAAGAATACAGCAGGTCCTCAACCATTATTTCATTTTATTGTATTGTTATAACATTGATGAGATTCCACGAGAACTTATATCAATTAGCCTATGGTAAAATTGTTTTCATTTATGTCTTTTAGCTTAAAGTCACTGAAGCCTATTGACCATGTTGAGTGGTAACTTAGTGTATACAATAGAAACTATAAATAGCCCGCAGAGTATAACATTTACTATTTGTTTTTTTATATAAAAAGTTTGCTGACCCCTGAAATAGATTAAGGATCTGTTTCCATTGTGTTTGTAATAATGCCTTATCTTCCTATATCTATTTAGTTTTGATGTGGTATTGGACATTGTGCATTAACAATGGTATAATTCCATGGTCGGCAAACTGCAGTTTGTGAGCCACATGCGGCTTTCTGGCCCCTTGAGTGTGGCTCTTCCACAAAATACCACAGCCTGGGCAAGTCTATTTTAAAGAAGTGGCGTTAGAAATTTAAGTTTTAAAAATTTGGCCCTCAAAAGAAATTTCAGTCATTGTACTGTTGATATTTGGCTCTGTTGACTAATGAGTTTGCCGACCACTGGTATAGTTCATTTAAGACTAGTTTGATATTAATATCTTCCAGAGAAGATAAGATTTGCTGCCAGTCGGCAAATAAAGATGCTCACAATCTTGAGTCACCCTCATGTGCTCAGAGGATGATATGGTTCAAAGGTGGGCTTTCATCTTTCTGAGCACTGCTTGATTTCTGGCTCTTTTAGTATAGCTCTTCGAAGCCCCACGCCAAAGCCTGTGGACTTAGCAAGGCTCTCTTCTTGGTGTGCTTTCACTTCTGAGTGTGGAAATCTCACTCCTGCATGTCAGCTGGCAGGCATCTGCTACTATTGGAATTGGCAGATGGCCTCTGGGAGAAAAGTGCCCCAAATTGTCATGATTTAGCACTGCAGATTTCCATCTTTTCTCCAGTCTTAGCTTCTTAATTCTTTTTTTCTTTTTTTTTTTTTTTTTTTTTTTTGGCCTTGTTGGTACTTTGTGGCTTTCATTTAGGTATTTTCCGTAGCTATTCTAGTTCCCAGTGAGGTTAGTTGAAATTACTTCAGTATCATTATTAGAAATATGACTCTCCTGTTACATGTACTTTGCTTATGAATAATGAAGTATTTGTTTTCTACATTTTTTTTCACTTTTGCTTTTTTTAATATTTTTATTTCAGATAGCCTCATTATTTCCTATGTATGTTGTGGGGTACATTGAGCCAAGCAAATTTAAGAAGATCATTTATATGAACATGGTAACGTTTTTCATACTTATAAGTCAAATATTAAAATAAGATCTCAGGGACGCCTTCTTTAAAGTCTTATTTAATACACCAAAATGGAAATGTACATGATAGATACCATATTATAACATACTCTCTGAAACTTTTATTTTTATGTTTCAGTTATTATTAGTCACTATTTTTGAAACTATCTTTTCCCCAAGACTTGAAATTTCTAGCACTGTGCATGAATATGACACTCTATAAATTTTGGTTTTGCATTTTTGTTTCTATCTTTATTTCCAAACACATCTCCCTTAATAACAAATATTTTCTAGCTAAAAACATAAAGTAAAGCTTCCTTAGTAATAAAAATCATCAGGTAGTGCAACAAAAATAAGATAAAAAATTAATATAACTAAGCTTTATTTATTATATTACTCCATTATTGAATCAATAGAAATAATAGTTTTTTGCAGTTTTCTTTGTACTAAGTAGCAGACAGAGAAAAATTTTTTCTATACAGAATTCATAGTGTTGAAACTACTTAGAATCTATCAGTGTGTTGAAATTCTATCATTCATCCAAGATCTATTTATTAATCTTATTTATGCATAAAGTGTTTGTATTGGAATGGCTATATGCCTGTAGACAAAGTTATGCTATAGATCCAATAATGATGAAACATTCTTTCCTTCACTTTTCAGATTTCAGTTCTCCTTTGTTTTGTGTTGATGTTTGGAAATACAATGTATTTATCTTCTTATTATTCTTCATCTTTGTTAATGACATGGGTAAGTATTTGTTAAGCTCATGAAGTTTTTGTTTTTGTAACCTGTGAAATAGGAGGTTTAATGCACCTAATATAGGTTTAGGAGAACAAATAGGGCCCTTTCCTGTTTATTAATCATATGAAAAAAATTTTAAAAATATATATTTTATTGATTTTTTTTAACAGAGAGAAAGGGGGATAGATAGAGAATTAGAAACATTGATCAGCTGTCTCCTGCACATCCTCTATTAGGGAATATGCCCGCAACCAAGGTACATGCCCTTGACCGGAATCGAACCTGGGACCTTTCAGTCCGTAGGCTGATGCTCTATCCACTGAGCCAAACCAGTTTCTGTGTTCCTGATATTTCTATTATAGATAAAGGGCAATATTGAAATATTTCCTCTAATTCTCTTTTAATGTGCATGAATTTCGTACACTGGGCCACTAGGTCTCCATATCATCCTTAGAAAAGAACATGGTACAAAGTTACCATTGTAGGGCAGGTATCCAAGTAAATATTTAAAAAAAAAACAACTAGCAGGTAAGACTTACTTTTATTTTAGGAAAAAAAAATTTTTTTTTTTTTACTGATTTCAAAGAGGGAGGAAGAGAGAGAGAGAGAGAGAGAGAGAGAAACATCCATAATGAGAGAGAATCATTGGTCAGCTGCCTCCTGCATGCCCCCAACTAGGAACTGAGCCCACAACCCAGGCATGTGCCTTAACTGGGAACTGAACCATGACCTCTTAGTTCATAGGTCGACACTCAGCCAATGAACAACATTGGTTGGGCAAGATTTACTTTTAAAATATACCATTAATTTGTTACCAAGATTAGTTATTTCCTTCTAAGTCACTTCAGTAGATTCAGTACATATTGCAGTGACACTGCCATTGCTCAGAACATTTTTGGAACTCCTCTGAATTGCCTTCACAGACTGTGGCACATTCTTTTGAATATCCTCAATGGTGGCAAAACTTCGTCTTTCAAGGGTGGATTTGATTTTTGGAAACAACCAAAGTCTTGTGAATAAGGTGGGTGATTGGGCTGGGTAATATATAGATCTTGATCAAAATATGGTGTGACATTAAAGTAATAAGACCTATTTTCTTGCACCCATACCTAAATTATCTTTGGGAGGTAGTTTAGAAAATGGAGTTCCAAACTGTTGTGAGCAATGATAACATAATTAGAATAGGTAAGTAGTCTCCTCATGTGACTGACTTTCACTGAATGACACCCATTTGGATATGTATTTGGAACGGTGGTTCAGTAAATCGGCTTTATTACTTTATAGTCACACTTCTGATATCCCTAAGCCAGAACCTATAATGTTCTCTTCTGAAATGCTCCTGGCATGTTCTTTTTCTGCAGTTACCAAAAATGATGCCAACCACAGTAATACCAAAATAGTACACTTTCCCATGTAAATTATTGATTGAACCTTTTGAGATTGCCCTTATGTTTTAACATATTTTGCTTCCCACACTTTTCTTTTCCCTCTTCACAATAAGTAATCCATTCTCTTGCTCCCCAAAAATGCAGGATTTTCATTTTCAAAAATTTAGATGTGTTTTAAACATGACAAAAGACTTGTAGTAGTATGCCCATCCACCTCTTTTTAAGGAAGTTATTTTATTTTGAAATACAGAAAACTGCATAAAACCAGTGTTGGTTATGTACTGACAGTACTCACTAGTACTGAAAGTACTTATTAGTGAACTGTTTTTGGCAAATAAATTGCCATTAAATAAAAAAAATCAGAGTTTTTCCTACCATCCTGCCCCAATAATGACTTGACTATGGTAATCATTCCTAGATTTCCTTTATATTTTTTATAACTTGTATCTCTATTTTTAATCTATAGGTTTCCTATATATCTGCCTGTTTTCTTTCCTAGAAAATGTAAGAGCCTAGGTCATTGAACATGTAGAGGATGCTATGGTCTAGATTTTACTCTTTGAATTCTTATGGTATATAGCTTTACATCCTCCTTTGTTTTCTGTATTTATAATGGGTTAATAATTGAATCTAAAACTTGATAGGTTAAGGTTTTATCTCTTTAGCATAGTAGTATTCTTTTAGCAGAATGCACACAATGTTCAAAGCTTCCCTTTTTATGATAGTAGCCATCAGTGCTTTGTAGCTGATCCATTAACTCAATAAAAATAGCAAATTGGTGATAGTCCAGTCGGTCATTTGCAGTTAGTATAGGGAAAGTAAAAGAACACATCTAAATGAGCGGAGTTGACAAAAAGTAGAAAAATATTTAAAGAAATAACAGCCAAAATTTTTTCTAACCTAATGAAAATTATTAACTCAGAGATAAAGAATTTTAGTATATCTCAAATCCAAGAAAGCTGTAGTAAGGCATATTACAATTAAATTTCTCAAAAATCTGTGATAAAGATATAATACTAATAATAGCCAAAGAAGTAAGACGTGTTAAATATAGAAGAACAAAGGGTAAGGATATCAGCAGATTTTTCATAAGGAAAAAAAAAATGCAAGCAATAAGACAGTTAAGCAACATCTTTACAACATTTAAAGAGAAAAACACTGTCAATGTATAGTTCTATACCTAGCAATATATGGCTCAAAAATGAGGACAAATGAAAGACTCCCATAACCAGATTCGCACTAAGAGAAGTTTTAAAGGGGTTCTTCACTGGAAGGAATAGAATATTAGGTGTCAGGATGGCCCTGCACAAATGAGGCCCTGGAAATGGTAGCTAGAGATGCTGTTACAACAAAAGTACCAGAGGCTGGGTACCTTATTTCTCATAGTGCTAGAGTCTGGCGAGTCTGAGACCAAGATGCAGCTGGTTTGATTCTTGGTGAGAGCTCTCTTTATGTGTAATCAGATACCTTCACTGCATCCTCCTCAGAAGGGTACTAATTCTATTCCTTAGAGATCTAATTACCTTCCACTGGTTTCATTCCAGTACGTCACATCGGAGATTAGAGTGTCAGCACCTGCATTTGGTGGGGACATGAACATATCATTGATAGAACTGAGATTTTTGAGGACCCTGGCTTTATACATCAGTCTCAATTTCTTACCTTTCACATCTCCACGCCCTCCCCTGCTGCCCTCCTTTTTAATACTAGCATATGGTCGTAATCTCTCTCTGCAGTCCTCCCTAAAGGCTGCCATAGGTTCTCTCCTGATTAATGTTTTTGTTTTTAAAATTGCCTTCTTTTGTCTGGAATCTGGAAAGTTCTTTTATTTTCTTAAAAGTCAGCTTTAAAAAAAATTTTCAAAACATTTTTTTTGGGATTTTGGAGAGGAAGGATTTTTTAAATTAACTTAAACCACTAATTTTGCTGGATAACTTACATATAGCCACTATCTACCTTATCAGAGGGAGTTGCCCTACACAAAACATTCCAAGTAATGCAGTGAGGAATTAATTTGATTCTAGAGGCAACTTTTTAGTACACACAGCATTTATCTCTCACACCAAGGAAAATTTGTCATTTTCAAATTTTGAAAAATCAACAATTAGGAAAATGGCTGATGTAGGCAAGATGGAAGATGGGGGTGGCTGTGTAATTTTTGAAATACATAATCCATATAAAATATGCTTGTTAATTTGTTTCATTTTTTTAATTACATGCTCTTTAGGTGATAATTCTAAAGAGAAATAACATTCACAGATTGTGTGTATCTGAACTCAACTTCTGGGTAAGATTCAACATTTTAAACATAATTTCTTTACTCTTTATTTCTATAAACTAAACATGGTAATTTACTTCAAAAGGAATGATTTAGAGTTAATCTTATAAATAGCTACTTCTTAAGATAGGAAATAGTCCTTAGCAACTATAAGTCATTTTTAAGAAACTTGTTCAGTTATTTCGGTTCTACCCTCAGCCTTTCTTCCTTTACTTTCCATTCTGCTATACCCCCACTACCCTATTTTTAAAATTTTTTTCTATTTGCTGTGAGTCTCTCTCAACTGACTAACCGTCTCTTCAAAATAACTACATTTGTAGTTCTGTTCCTACTTTTCTCCTTCTGTTTCCTCTATGCTTTCAAGTGTGGACTCTAGTATTTTTGTCCTTTAAGCATTTCTCCACAATCTCCTAGCTTCTTATTTCAACTTAGACACTGCTTAATCTTTGACTTCCTTCCAAATATACAAATGTGTAGGGCCATGTTACCTCTATGTTTGTGTATTTTGTTTCCAAGTAAAGTAAATATATTATTAGGAAGGCACTGCAAATACTTATTGCCATAATATCAGCATATGGCATTGTTTTTCTTTGATTTACTTCTATTAAAAATTAAGACCTGCCATATTGAAGGACTATGTGATTATATATTGATATTGACGGGGTAAAACAGGGAAAGTTGTGGTAAGATAAGAAAGTACAATTCAGAAAGCAAAAGAATAAAGTGGAATGTATTGCCAGTTTCTTCTTGCTTGAGGAATTCTCCCATCCCTTGTGATGAACCTGTAGAAATATTTGTAACCTTAAGTTATTGGTGACATGACCCTTTCAATACATGAATTTTTTCTTCAGAAAAAAATGGTAATGTTTTCTCAAAAATATTAAACTAAGAAATCAGAAAATTCAAAGTTTTTATTTAATAACTGTACTCAAATAAATTGAAAAATGTCATTTATAAACTATTGAAAAATAACATAGAACAGTGTCTTTGGACATTTAGAGAATTCTGTCAAAGCATTTGCAGAGGCAAATTTATTGTTTTAAATATTTTCAGTTTTAGACTGGAAAGAATAAAAATTATGCTTTTATTTAATTTAAGAGAAACAATATTTTAAGAAGAGAAAAGTTGAGGTATAATGAGGGTTCAGCACATACTAGTATTTACATTTTGAAACTTGCATAATTTATATCGCCAAAAGGGAAAAAGAAATCAAGGTAGTCATCTAAAACCATGCAAAAGATGTCCTGGCTTTTAAAAAGCTAGTCAAAAAGGAAAAGCAAAGATATTTTGTGAATTAACACTTTTTCTTGCAAAAAACCTATTTTATTTCTCAAGTAATTCTTTCATGATAGTGGAATAAAGATTATATTGCATATCTTATTCTATCACTGGAAAATTTGAAAACAATGAAGCTCTTATTTTTATATTGAGTGAGAATAAAAAATAAAAAAAATGTCACATGATTGATTAAAATCTATTTTTAATATTCTTTACTGTCATGGGGCCACTTGAAAGGAAGAAAACACCTGTATATAATTATGTACCCTCATTCTGATCAAATTGGATTCATCCCAGAAATGCAAATATGTTTCTGGAAAATCCATAAATATAAATTATCACACTAACAGATTAAAGGAGAAAAGCGACTTATCCCATTAGATGGCAGAAAATGAATTGAATATAATTGAACACCCATTTATGGTAAAAACTCTTAGCACAGTAGAAATAGCAGGGAGTTTTCTTAACCTAATATAATTCTTTAGCCTTCACTGGTTGTACAGGTGAGGTATTTGGAATGATTAAATTTTTTCTATGCCATTATTGATATGATTGAATATTTTAACCAGATAATTTTTAGTACCTGACTTCTATTTTATTTATTCCTTAGCTAATTCAATGTTTTGGTTGGTTTTGTGGAACAATCATTTTGAAATTCCTGACAACTAAAATCTTGGGTGTTTCAGATCATGTAAGTACTTTCCAGTTAAAACATAAAACGTTTTGTAAACATGTATACCTGGGTGAAAACTTTGGAACCAACTATTTTCTTACCCCTTCATTTTATATAGGTTAAGTGCCTTCTTCAAGGGCCCCAAGCTAATTATTGGTAGAGTAAATACTGAGAAAAATGTGTATCAATGAGTGCTGACTTAGCCTTCTAGGGAAAAAATATGTTTAGTAGTTAATTAGTTAATTTCAGTTGAAATACAAATCATTATTTGTTTAAATAAATAATTATTGAAGATGTTGTTAGCACATGAGCAGTCTGTACTCAGCTTTGAAACATAAAACTCTTTAAAACACCGATATTTTTATTCATAATTATGGATTAAATGCAAGAGGTGATTTGATGTTTTAAAAGCTTTTTTTCTTAAAAGTTCGCTATCTTTTTATCTTCTGGAAAATACATGGACCACATAAATGCCTCATGTATGGCATTTCTGCATGTTTTAAGGCTAATGCCTTAATAATGGCCCTTTTAAAAACATAAGTCCCTACTTAAAAATTAGTTTAAGGAATAGAAAACAATGAATTTACTTTTGATTTTTAGCACTTACTGTTGGGATATGAGCATACATGCATGAATCCTGCAATAATCTATTCTGAGGTTTACCTTACCTAGTACTGTCCAATTAAGACCTTATCGAATGCTGAGATCACTTCAGCTTTAACAAAGGAGTGTGGTATTTTTTCTCTAAGGGTTCAAATGCTGTCATTATCCAATAAAATTGAACTTGCATAAGTGTGCATGTTAAGTACAATTTTAGAATGTAGGGATTTATTTGCTATTCATTGCTAGCTTTACACAGTTGCTTGTTAGGGGTATTTGCTACTCTTCTCTCTATATCTGACACATTTTTTTTTTCTTTCCCCTTTGTTCTTAACTTTTTATTCTTTGGGGAGTATGTATTTTATGATAAACTTTCTTTAGTTCTATGGTTCATCTGTGTTTTTCTTTCCTACCTTGCTGCATGTTGTCAACTGACTCTACAAATTTTACACACATACATATATCCTGGGTACTCTTATTAAGTGACTTCCTCTGTAACAGCAGTGAGAAAGAGTTGAAACTAATGTGTTTTGGTTAAATTATTAGTCACCAGACTTGCTGTAAGTTAGAACCATGAAGGAACAGCCCCCCCCCCCATTCTCAGTCCTGGTAGGTGATGGGAACCATGAATAACCACAGGTAACCATATAAACTTGATATAAAATAATTTCTGTCTTTGTAAAATGCTCTAAATTAAGATTCCCATACCCATTACTTCCCTGTTTAATCTGGCTGTCCGAGAACGCAGTGGGAAAAGCATTGTCTCCCCGACCGCAGGTGATACACAGTCCGGAGCACACAGGAGTCCCACGTGGGGGTGCTTGGCAGAGCTTATGTTAGAGACCTCGGAGATCAGGGAACTCCCAGCGGTATGCGCAGTTGTTGTAACTCCTCTGAAGGACAGCTGTCACGTTAATGGCTTGATGGTACATCCGAGAAATTCAAGAAGCACCAAAAGTTGTAATCAGTGCATGAGGCTTGATGAAAACGACAGCACATAGAAAATTGGTTCATGATTTACAATGTGTGGTAAAAGGGCTTAACATGAAACTGCTTTTCCTTGGTAAATGATGTGATTATAAAATCTCATGATTAACTGCGTGGTGGTTTCTGCCCAGCAAATATTGATTTTTGGCTCACTCTTTACATTATCATCTCTGCTTATTTTTTCTGACCTCTTTCAACTTTTCATTTCTCTTGACATTTATTTTTCATAGTTCAGTATATAGCATGCATTGTATTATTCACTGTATTTTTTTTTCCTTTGAGAGGGACACCAGGTACCGGATTTATGTGTTTTGTAGCTTTTATTACAATGATATCAAATGAGTTGTTATTGACTGCAATTATTGGCATAATTTTAATTTGCTTTACTCTATTTTTTTCCAGATTCGCCTGAGTGACCTAATAGCTGCGAGAATCTTGAGGTTTACAGATTTCGATACTTTAATTTACACCTGTGCTCCTGAATTTGGCTTTATGGAAAAGGCGGTATGTTGTTTTTTTTGTTTTTTTTTCCTCCTCTACTGGCATGGTAATTTTTTTGCCTCTAAGTTTTCTTTTGAATCTGAAACTCAAAATTTTCACTCAGAAACATCTGACTTTTACCCTATCACTTTTCACAGTTACTTTGCTAATCACATGGCCTTCCTCGCCTGTTTTCTCTTGTGTAAAAGCACGAAACAAGGGCTCCTATCTTACAGAGTTGGTGGTGGTGGTGGTTGAATGAGACAGTCCAGGAGGGTACTTAGCATGTCATGTGAGCCACAGTGAATGACTGTTATGACACTTCAATCACTTGTAATAATCTAGGTCAGTTGGAGGTATGGGACTACCCAGAAAAAGTAAATCCAAACTCTTATTTAGGTTTTTTAAAAATTCAGTTTTATTTCAGTTAATACCCCAATTACTACAAAAAATTTAAACAAGACATTGCCAGCAAAGGAACACCACTAATCTCACTTTGAAACTTAATAAATGACTATTTTGAATAATTGGTTTTATTTCAGACTCCACTGAGATACACAAGGACATTATTGCTTCCACTTGTTATGACGATTACTTATTTCATCTTAAAAAAGGTATTTAAATTTTTTAACATTTTGGGTTAAAGATAATAACTTATAATAGAGGGATAATATCTCAGAATTTTGTCTTATTTTTAGGATGAACTCCTCCCCTCCTAAAAACCATTTTCTATTGATTTTTTTTAAAAATCTAGTATTATGTTTGTTGATTTGTTTCAGAAAACCACATTATAAAAGGTATTTTCATGTTATCAGTCACCCACCATGTAGCAAGAACGATGTAGGTACAATGGGACAAAAAGGTCCGTGCCTTAGAACCTACAGCCTATGGGAGCTAGGGGACGTAAACAACCACACAAATGGCTGAAGAATTATAGTTGTGATGGATGTTATGAAAGTGCAGTATAGGACAGCTATCATCTTTCAAGTATAAAGCTCATTCAAAGAAATTTTGGTCCATTAGGAGATATGCACAGAAGAAATTTTTATAGCCATTAAAAAACCATCTGTATGTGTTCATTGTTTTTATAACAAAGAACATATCACTATAAAAGAAATAATGTTTAAACTGGCAGTTTTTCTTGGTCTCAGAATGGTTGATCTGGAAGCCTGGTTAAAGACAGTGGGTCCTTAGTTTTAAAAATTTTGAACTAGTTTTATATGGTTTACAAGTTGTCTTGCCTTAAGTCACTATTTTAGTATATTTATTTTATGCTTTTGGGTAGATAACAATAACGTGATTTCTCTACCCTGTCTCCTACCAAGGGTGCTCTGTTGAAACTGGTTGTTGGTATTTAGAATCAAATTGCTTATCTTCTCTCTGTAGTTTCAGTCCCCATGTTTCTCATTCCTTTGTTTTCACATAGAATGTGAGTAATTTATGAATGAGAAAAGGTACCTCCTCCACATCTCTCTAGTTTCACCCCTGATCCAGGTTTTTAATGACTTGGATAACTGGTCAACTCCAATGACTTGGAAAATTGCTCAACCCCCAACAGCTTGGGCAATTGATCAACCCCAATAACTGGAACAACTGGTAAAAACCAAATGACTTGGACAATAAGAACACTTCATATGCACTGAAAGGTGGGGCTGGGGGAGTCAGTTCCAAGTCAGGGCACATACCCAGGTTGCAGGTTAGATAGCTAGTTGTGGTGTGTATAGGAGACAACCAATAGATGTTTCACTTTCTTTCCCTTTTACTCTCTCACTCTCTAAAAAAGTCAGGAAAAGCATAGCCTCAGATGAGGATGAAAAAAGAACAACTTTATATTGGGTGTATTTATGTTAATGAATGAGAGCATTTTAAATGTCAAATAATTTCTTAGAAAACTTTCATTGATTCTATTCATAGGCTTTCCGTGATGTTTTATGTGTTTTATCTTCAAACACTTATCAAAGGTAATGCTATCATAGTTATTTCTAAATCATGCTATATTTATTAAATGACTTGCTGTCATTCATTTTCAAATTAATGGACATTAAACTTAAGTATTATGATTAAAGAAATTCATATTAAGAGGCCTCTACATCCTGTAAAGCTTTGTTGTAAAACTAAAATATCTAGTCTTTATAATAAAACATAAAAATAGACAGTCTTATACTCTTGTTTGAATCTAATACGAACTCTCTGAGGATAGAGCCGATATCAGTGCTCTTTATTCTGTGTTCACTGAACAGTACCTAGAACACAGTAAGAGTACCCTAAACATTTAGTCAGTTTATAGCTGTAAATATTTAGTAAATTTGAAAGTAAAAATATTTATAGACTTTACCCAGTAACTTCTAGGAATTTATGTTAAGGAAGTACTCAGAGATGCTCCCAGTTTTATGTAGAAGGATGTTCATGGTGTTTATAATTGTGAAAAATGAAAACAGTTCTGAAGTCCAGCAATGCTTACATAAAGTTTTGCATGCACTGTATATGGTTGAATATGTAATAGACAGTCTATTTTATCTTAAGAGACACCTTAAATAGAATAACAGTAAATTATTCCTTTTAGATTGCTGATTTACCTAATATATTTATTTCCTTTTATGCTTTTAAGTAATTTAGAGAGAATCAAAATTTTAAGATCTAAAAAAAATAGTTTATTTTTATGTAATCATAAAGTGGACGGTTAGTAAGTAGAGAATATTTTTGTTTTATTCCAGAAAACAGCTCCTTGAACATGGTGAGGTAAAGCCTTAATTTTCATCTCTGGTAGACTTGTGTATTCGATTCTAATTCAAGGCCAGTTTGTCTAAACCATGCTGCCGGCAATCATCAGCACTGCTTGAGTGGTTCAGGCGTGGTGGTAAATTACTGCTGGTCCTCGAATTTTAATCTGCTCTGTTTAATCTGAACGGTAGTAAGGATTAGAAAGCTAGAAGGTTGATGTATGACCATGGAGCATAATTTAATTAAATTGCCCCCATACTTTTATTCTTTCATTCATTTGACGATAACAAACGTTACCTTTTTGCCTGTTCAGCCATCAGGATGGTTACCTGTGGGCTCCTGCCCCGCACAGATGGGATGGTCAGTTAACAAGCTTTAGCAGTGCTACACGTTACAAAAGACTTTACAGCAGGGTTCTTGCCCTCTCAAATGTGCATAGATTTTCAGTGGAGACATGAAACAGATAAAGCAGCATTTTATTTGGCGCTAAGCTTCTTTGTGGCACATAAAGGACATATGATTTCCTGATAGAACTATGAGTCTTAAAGGAAAGGTCAACTACTGAGTTTGAAGTTAGTAGGAATAGCTTACAATGACAACTACTTTTTTCCCGAATAGTTACTATGTGCCACACACTCTTGCTATTTAGTTCTCATAATAATCCCATTTTGCAAATAAAATTATGTTAATTAGGTGATACTACCTGTTAGAGAGATAAACACTAACATAATTTAGTAGTAGTTTAATCCGGGACTGTTATCTCTGTTTCTCAGACAAGAGACACTACAACATAGGGAGGTTAGTGGCCAGCTCTGTGGACCGAGGAGGACGCGAGCCTAGTATGCTGAGCAGCACCCATCCGTTAGCCGTCACTCTGCTGCCCCTAGTGTGACTGCGTTTATGTACATCGGCCATGTCACATTCCTCCAAGTTTTACTTCTGCCTTCACATCCTCACTTTATATTTCCTCAGACAGCACTTAAACCCACCTCTCTTTAGAGGCTTACTATTCCGCAGCGTTCTGCCTTTCCCTCCGCACAGGCCCCTGGTTGTGCCCAAAGGGGAATTTTACAAAAAGGAAAAAGGATTGATTTTGAAATAAATGTTCCACATTCCAACTTTGGGTCCCCTAATTAGGAAAAAAGAAGTAACAAATTTCACTTTTAAACATCTTTACTTAAAAAGGGAAAGAAACAGCTCTTGGTAGAGTTTTTGCAATTCTGTTTTAAATATAAATTATGCATTTCTGCTTATAAAAAATGATATGTTTAAATATTCTGGAAAACACAGAAAAATTATGATTCAGAAATAAACTCTTACCTTTTAGGCATATATTCTTGTAGGTCATCTTCCCCACTTCCTGCCTCCCTCTGCCCCCCATGCATGAATGTGTATATAGGTATGTATACATACACAGGCATGCACACACACAGAATCCATGTCATTCTGTTGTACAGAGTTCGACACTCTGAGCCCTTTTTCATGCCATTAAGCAATCCTCCGCTATGTGATCTCTGAGTGGCCGTGTGCCTGTGGGAGGGCAGTGCCTTAGTCATTCCTCTTTGGTCACTTAGGGTGTTGGTTTTTGTTGCTGAAAGGTCACTGCAGTGGCCTTTCTTGCAGACTCATTTCTGTGCTCTGGTTCCTCCCATCGGGTCCGCTCCTGGAATGGGACGTTCTGTTGGAGGGGTCGGCTCTCTTCCGGGGACTTGATGAATGTGCTCAGTCTCGGGAAAAGGCGCCAGTTTACTTCACTGCGCTTCACGGCAGCCTTCCTAACACTTAGTGTTCATTTACTCTTTGTCAGTTTTATAGATGAAAACACCTTATTACCTTTGGCATTGTGTTTGACTGTTAGAACATGAATTTTGAGTTGCCATTTACTTCTGGTTGCATTAATTCTGTCCACTTTTCCAGTGCGGGATCGTTGAATATTTTAACGAATATGTCTGTTAGAAAAGTTTCATTTGAGACCTTTGCCTAAGTGGAACTCCATCTTAATAAAAATGGGGTGTCGGGCTAATGACTCCATGTGTTTATATAGTCCCTCTGCTTTTAAGGTGATCCAGGCTATGTTTTGCTGTGCTGTGTGTTGCTGTCTAAGTGACCTGTGGATTTGTGCAGCGGTGCACATTTCTTTCTCTCTGGCTCCATTGCTCACCTGGGGCAGGTCCTGGCACACACACCACTTCTCCCCTGAGGCCCAGCCTGGTGGCTCTACTTCTCTCGCAGCAACTCCCCTGTGGCCACAACCCCCCCCCCCCCACACACCGTGCTCCCTGTCTCTGTCTCTTGCTCCATGTTCTCTTCCATCGTGCTCACCACTTCCTAAAAGACTGTATGATAGATTTATTTTTACTTTGCTTCCTGTCTCTCTTTACTAAAATGTAAATGTAAATGTAAACAGAAATTGCTCACTGATATTTTGTTCACCATTGAATCTGCAACACCCAGAACAGTACCTGGCAGATAGTAGGCATTCAACTCATCTTCGTTGAATAAAGGAATAAATATTAATAGACTTCTTGCTAAGTTAAAAGTTCCTATCCTAATGAATCATACTAGTTTTAATATACTTCATTAATTTAAAAGCCTGTGAAGTGACACCGCCATGTTTTTGTTTTGTGTTTTTGCAGCTAATTTTCCACACATTGCAGCTGATAGCGTTTACTGCCCTCGCCATCTTGATTATGAGGCTGAAGCTATTTCTGACTCCGCACATGTGTGTGATGGCTTCCCTGATATGCTCCTGGCGGGTAAGGCGGCCACCTCGTCTGACTGCGTGATGATAGCTGTAGCCACTGCGGTGCCGTTACCCTGACTGCGGGGTAACCCAACCCCCAGAGCACTAGTGACACCTTTGACGTTAGATCATGCTTCCCGAGAGAGGAAGAAAGGCAACTCCACGCGGCTGTGGGAATTGCCCCCAGATGTCAGCTGCTACTTCTAATACACCTGATGTGGTGTGCTCCCCTCTGTCAACGGCCTCCCCACAAAGCCCCGTGGGTGGAGTTCAGGTCCGGGCAAGAGTCTTGGCCCATCAGCGCCAGCCCCAGGTGCTCTTCGGCCACGAGAGGAGCGCAGTGATTGCTCTGGTGCTGTGCACTGGCCACGCAGTCCTGGCGGAGGTGTCTCCGCTGCAGCCATGATGCTAGACAAACAGCTGGGATGTTGAGACCAAGGTGCTTCAGAAACTCCTCACTTAGTTTTGATCATGAGCGTCTTGTGACGCTCCTGGAGGAATGTTCATGTCCGTGCTTATGGGCCTCCCCTCGTTACTCAGGATGTCTGTAGCAGCAGGCAGGGGTTGCAGCATGTAGTCCCAGGATGCTTCAGACTGGGGATTTGCTGACCTTAACCCCAGAGGGTAAATAGTACTGGAAGGATCCGGGGTTCCTTCCTTCCTTTAGAGAAGAGAGCTAGCTTCCTTTTGTAACTGAGCCCAATAATTCCAAATACTTGCTGTTTATAACAGTAGGGGGTGGTACTTCTGTAAGTTACTTGGCATCCTCAGTGCTAATCCACCTTGGTCTAAGTCAGTGGCCGGCAAACTGCAGCCCGTGAGCCACATGCGGCTCAAGAGCTGCATTTGCCGCTCTGGTGACTAGTGAGTTTGCCGGCCACTGCCTTAGGGAAAAACACACAGAGATTTTAATAATTTACTAATGTATTTAACCTGCAGTCAAAACCTCTGGGTAAGGGTAGTGCAGTGGTTGGCAAACTCAGTCAACAGAGTGGCAAACCGTGGCTTGCCAGTTTGCGGACCAGTGGTTTAAGTAGCCGGGGGCGAATTTATTACTGACAATACAGCACTCTTTTTGTAAGGCGGGAGGAGGGTGGTGGTGGTCTGGGAAAGAGAGGACATCGGTAATACTGTAATTCTACAGAGAAATGAAAAATGAAGAATGAATGACAAACGGTTTCTCTCATTTCAGCTCTTTGGCTGGCTTTTTTACAAAGTTCGTTTTGAGAATGTCATCTTTGGTCTTCTCACAGTCATGTCGCTCCAAGGCTTTGTCAACCTGTGCAGTCAGTGGAGCATCCTGGGAGAGTTTAATAATCTGCCTCAGGAGGAACTGATCCAGTGGATCAAATACAACACCAGGCCAGGTGTGCTAGTTACACGCACAGCATGTTTTATGTACACACATGTAAAAATGCACCCACACATATAGTCATTCACGTCTGCACAGACTTCAAGCAGGCTACTTACAGTACTCACGAAGCAAAGCTTTTCAAAAAGTGGTTTTGTGCCCTCTTTCAATTCCCCTGAGATAACCGTCAAAAAGATTTTTCATTAACATCAGAAATTAAAGATTGTTCACAGCTCCATGCTGTAATTTTTTAAAATAATGTTCATAGCTCTAGTTGGTTTGGCTCAGTGGATAGAGTGTCGGCCTGTGGACTGAAGGGTCCCAGGTTCCATTCCAGACAGGGCACATGCCTGGGTCACAGGCTCAATCCCCAGCAGGGGACGTTCAGGAGACAGCCATCAATGGTTCTCTTTCATCACTGATGTCTCTCTCTCTTTTCCTCTCCCTTCCTTCCTGAAATCAATAAAAACATTAGTAAAAACAATAAAAAATGTTTTTATTGATTTCAGAGATAGATAGGAAGAGAGATGGAGATAGAAACATCAATGATGAAAGAATCGTCCATCAGCTGCTTCCTGCACGCCCCCCACTGGGAACCAAGCCAGCAACCCGGGCATGTGCCCTGATCAGGAATCGAACCGTGACCACCTGGTCGATGCTCAACCACTGAGTCCAACCAACTGGGCAGACTTCAGTATATTTAAAGGAAAATAGCCTACCCTTTCCCTGTCATGTTCTTATTTTCTCCGTCATTGATGATCTCTCCTCAGTGGTTCCAGCTTTTGCTGGACAGAACTACGTAGTGTCTCCCTGGTGGCCCTGGGTTTGGGGGCCTCCAGCCCATGGCCTCTCGGTCTTGGCAGGCTCTGCTGACTTTGGGGGCGGTCCTGTGCATCGCATTGTGTGCAGCATCAGCCTCTCTTCGGACACCCACAGCCCCTCTCCCTCCACAGCGTGCAGCCACACGTATCCAGCAGTGACGCTGTCCCCAGGAGCCAAAATCACTCCTGGAGAACCACGGCTCTAACCTGGCAGCTTTTCATTATTAATCTTGCCATATTCCATACACATTTCTACTTCTTTGGCTTAAATATTTTTAAATATTTTTGGCAAACTCAGTCAACAGAGCGGCATATAAAGAGATTTCAATTCAAAATTACGTTTAGAAGGCTTGGTTATATTTGAAAGTAAACAGTTATTTATAAGTCTGTTCTTAATGGTGGTTTTATTGTGCTGATTAAAAATGATTCTATTTTTCATAATTATACAATGATTTATTACATAGAAGTGCCTGCAGGTCAGTGTTTGGTCTTTTTGTCTCCAAGAGACGGAACTGGAAGTGAAGTCAGGTAGTGGGCTTTGGTGAATCCCGAGTTACACAAAAGGTTATACATTTATACCTGCCTTTACTGCAAGGATATACATTATAAAATCAAATGGGAACCAAATTATGAACATTTAAAGCTAATCCAAGGGGAGAAAGCAAGGCGTTCCTCTGACAGGTCCTCAGAACTACAGTCCACAACCCACACAAGTGGTTCTAAAAATGAGTCAGGAGACTTGCCCTGGAGCCTACCAGTTCCTGGCATTTTAACCATTTGTAGGCTGTAAGCGTCTATAGACGCCTTTTTAAATTAAATTCAAAATATCGTGGCAGTTCACTGGTTAAATTGTTGGAGCAAGATATGTAATCCCACAATTCTTTCTTCCTTAGCACAGTGCCTGGTGCTGCGGGAAGCTCAGGTGAGGGGGCTCTGACGCGTCCTCACTGTGTGGTCTTGGGCAGGTTGCTTAACCTTGCTGTGTCTCAGCTTCCTCGTCCACAGACTTGAGAATCGCACAGAACCCACTGTGGACAGTTGTGTGAATTAAATGTGTGGCCCCGATAGCAGTGTTTAGCACAGATCCCGGCACGAGGGTGACATTACCGAAGGCTGGCTGTTCTCACGGCGGACAGTCCGTCACTATCGCATGAAGAGAAATAATGGTGCCGGGGTCATTGTTGCTCCTCATTTGGGTTCACACATGCTGGGTGAGTAACTCGCGGTTTTCTCCAAGGCCTGTCACTGAGGAAGGCAATCTTTTTTCTCAGATGCCGTGTTTGCGGGCGCCATGCCGACCATGGCAAGTATCAAGCTGTCCACGCTGCGCCCCATCGTGAATCACCCGCATTACGAGGACGCAGACCTGAGGTTGGCAGCTGGTGAAATAGTTCAGACACACTTGCAACTCCTCTTTCTCTTTCTCTCTCTCTCATCCTCATAATGTGTCACATCCTTATGACTATTCTGTGTGTGTGCGCGCGCGCCCGTGCGCGCAAGTTCCAGGAGCTGAGCTGGCCATACTCTTCCAGCCCCTGCTCTGGACTCACAGCCTCTCCGTCTGACTTACAAATCTTTCTCCACTTTACTGAGGGCCAATGGCAAGCCTTTTTAAAAAGGAAAAGTACATGAAATTTGCTGTATTACATGCTTTTATGAAAATTTAGGGTGTTCTTTTGCTAAGTGGTTTTGGGACCTCAAGTTTCCATTGACATCTGAAAATTATGTTTTTCTTAAGTAACTGATTTTCAGAAATTATTTTAATCATTGTCAGGGTAATCTTTGCCTTTGCATATATTTTTGGTCTGTTGTTAAAGGTAAAATTTTAAATTAGTAAAAGCTTTATGTCTGGCTGTGGAGATTGGGCATCCCAAATGCTTGAACTCCTAAGCAATGCCCAATACATAAATGTCAAATAAAACTCCCAGGTAGGGCTAAGCCATGTATTGTACCATGTTTTGGTATGCATCCCTGCTTCCCAGCCTTCTGTGAAGGTACTTTGACCGCTACCCTAGGCACCCACTGAGTGAGTGTTCTGTTCCCTACCTTCAGCTTCAACCCGTATGCTTTCCGGAGCTGCTATAGATGGAATTGGCTATTGAAATCTATGTTGTCACTCTAGTTAGCCTCTATCGGAATGTGTTTTATGAGCCAGAGTAATTACTTTATGAACTACCCAAAGAAATTTTATATTCTAAAGGATCATCCTGCTCTCCAACTCTAGACCCTAAACCAGTTTATAAACAAGCAGCACATGCAAGATTCAAACTGCTGTATGTTTTAGCATGTGGGGAATAGGAGTGTGGGAACTGCCTCCCCCAAATAATTCTTGCTATTGAGAGTCATATAAATATGCCCCATCCAATGAGCATTGAGATTTTAATTTGCTAGCAAAGTTTCTTTATTCTGTTACCATGTATTAAAATTTCTTGAACCTGTTTTAAATTTAAAGGGCCCGGACAAAAATAGTTTATGCCACATATAGTCGAAAAACTGCAAAAGAAGTGTGGGATAAATTGTTGCAGTTACATGTGAATTACTACGTTCTAGAAGAGGCCTGGTGTGTTGTGAGAACTAAGTGAGTATGATCCTATGACGTTTTTTAAGCAACAATGGTTTTACTTTATTAAAGCAGCCCTGATTTTTGAAGAATTTTTATTCTAAAATAATTTTATTAAAATATTTTATTAAAAATTATTTCTTGTAGGAAAGTAAATTATCATTTCAGTAGAATTTAATTTCAGAAAATTAGGGTATTTCTAGTTTCCTGATTTTTAAATTTTAATGGATTATATAATATTTAACATTTTTTCATGAATATTTTTTGTTTTTATGATAATTTTTATTAGTAGATATGTGAAATTCAGGTTTGAATTTACAGCAGAGGAGATATTAGCATTTGCTACTACAGGTGAATTACATTGAATTTATAAGATTATGAAAAAAGTTTCACATAGCTTAAAAGGACATCATAATATTTTTAATTAAAGTATTAAATTTATGAATTTTGAATCTCTGAAAATCATACAGTTAAAAATGTTAACTGGGTAACCTGAAGCTTTTTGACTCCTTGTTCTAAGAAGTGCTTAGTTGTATTAAGCCAATATTGAATATGTTCATTTACCCTATGGATAATTGGGAATTAGGCTGTAACAGTGTTAACAAGTTAAGTGCAGCAGTTTAAGCTTATTTTTATATACCATTTTAACATCTAGTAAATATATTAGGAAGAATTGGCATCTCGCAAAAGAAGAATCAGGAATATTGTAATGTTCATGTGTGTGCATATCACATTAGCTGAAATTTTATAAAACAAAGTAGACTTCAGAACAACAAGGCTTATTGTCATAGAGATAGGTGTTTTATAATGACAAAAGAATTGATTTATCAAAAAATTCATAATAAGTATAAATGTATATACATCTAAGTAGCGCTTCAAAGTACTTAAGTAAAAATATGCAGAACTAAAAGAAAAAACAAATCCTTAATCATAGCTGGAAATGGGAACATTCCTTTCTCTACAGAGAAAAGTAGATAAAAAGCCAGCAAGGATATAAACAACAAACAGCATCAGACACCCTGGTCTGGTTGGCATGTGTAGACCACTACGGCGAACAGCTGGGGACCACATGTCCTCTTAAAGGGGCGTGGAACATTCATGGGAAGAGAAGATATGCTGAGCTGTGAAGGTAGCCTCATGGGCTTACAGGTTATGAAATTGTACAGAACTAAATTAAAATCAGTAATAAATAGATATCTAGTAAATCCGTGTATAATAGATACTAGGCAATAAACGTATGAATAACTTATACGTCAAAGAAACAAAGGAAATATGAAAAATATATTTTTTACTTGAATGAAAAGGAATCTTTTAAAAAATGTTGCTGATCTAACTGGATATTTGTATAGAAGAAAAATTGTTCCATGACCCACACTGTACCACACACAAAAATTAACTTGACGTAGATTGCAAAACTAAATGTAAAAGCTACAATTGTAAAGATTTCTTAGAACACAGAGCACTAACCATCAAACAGAAGTAAACTATATGCATGAAAATTGAAATACTTTCCTCAAAAGAAAATGGAAAGGCAAGTCACAGACTGGAAGGAAACAGCTGCAATGTATGTACCTGATGAAGGACTTACATATATACTTTCTATGGAGAATTCTTACAGATTAATGATCACTAGAATCTGGAAATCCTGAGCAGAGATCCTGCTGCACACACCTGGGGACCCCGGCAAGTTCATTGACTACAGATGACAGTCATCACAGGAACAAAGCAAATTCCAGAAGCATGACCATTGGTAATCTCTAGTGTCCAGTTTCCAACCCAAAATTTATCAGACCAGAAGAAAAAACAGAGTGTGACCAATACTAAGGGAAAAGGCTGGTAGAAACTGATTTAAATAGGCCCAGATGTTGGATATGGCCGTCAAAACCTGCCATACCGCTATTATAAATATACACTGAGTGGCCAGATTATTATGATCTCTGAACGCAGCATAATCTGGCTACTCACTGTATATCCTATATAATAAAAGGCTAATATGCAGATTGCCCCCTCGACCAGGAGTTCAACCAGCAGACAGGCTGGCCAACCGCCCATATCCCTCCCCACTGGCCAGGCTGGCTGAATCCTACCCATGCACAAATTCTCTCCCTCCCCTTCCTTTTCTCCTCCCCTTTCCCTTCCCCCTCCCCCTCCCCTTCACCCTGCCCTTCTCTGAGGCTAGATTATGATGCATTCAGAGATCATCATATTATGGCCACTCAGAGTAGTCAAGTAACTAAGGAAAATACTGTTTAATGAGAAATACTACTTCATTTGTCCACTCATGGAGCCACCAAAATGAGAGCGGGTTGAGGGGAACAAACCTGGCATGAGAGCTTCCCTTCCCTGTCTTGTGTTCTGTTTTCACACCTTAAACTCAAGAATACGAGTTTCACCAGGAATTATATTAACTTTTAAAAAATGTCTCATTCCAGTACTTACAGGCCTTATGTTTGGTTGGTTATATCATTTATGGAATACACTTATTTTGAAAATGAATTTTTAAATATATAATTCTGAATGTATATGGATCCTTTATTTGATTCAGTAACATATTGGTTACATGGAACGTGAAAATGCAATGAATTTTTTTTGTCTCTAAATATTGAACTTACGTTTCTTGAAACGGTGCCTTAAAATCTTTAGTTTATTGAAAAATTAGTCTCTCCAAATGTAGGCGCTGTGCTCTAATGTCTGTTTCCCCGGCTGTGAAGGATTGCTAACGTGGCTTGCTGTGCCCTGTCTGCAGGCCTGGTTGCAGCATGCTTGAGATCTGGGATTTGGAAGACCCTTCGAATGCAGCCAAGCCGCCCTTGTGCAGCACCTTGCTCAGGGACCCCCGGCCCTACTTCACCTTGGTGTTCCAGAACAGCATGTACCGGGTGCTGAAGGTGGCCTGAGGCAGTGGCCGCTGCCGTGGCGCAAAGAAGTGCATCGGACACAATCGCTTTGGCTTATTTGCATACATAAAAATCACCATCTCTAATAAGGGGCCCTCAAAAAGAAGACAGTACAACGAACTGGTGTTTCTGATTACTAAAGAGCAAATTATTTCTTTGTTTCCCATCGAATGTCAGCCTTGTTAAGCTTGTCATTTCAGTAATTGTTTCACACAGCGTGGACAGATGGACACCTTAATGTTTTAGAAAATTGTATGTGAAAGAGCAATTACTTAATAAATCAAAGGTATGTATGTCCTTTTGAATCCAATGAGGTGAATTGCTTCCAGTTTTCTCTAGTCCCAGGATACACTGGTGTTCACTCTCGAAACCACGTGGATAGACTGAAGCGGTTCCTGAAGTGACACTTCAGGTCCCGAGACCACGACTTCTTACCTCGAGGGGATGTTGCTTGTAGCCAGGCCACTATTAGGGATGTCTTCCGGCTTTTACTAGCCTTCAGGAAAGGTCTCTATTCCTTTTAATAATTTCCTATCATTTCAACTTAAGTATTTTTTAAAAACAGCTTGCTTTGTAATGTTTTGAACTTCTCGAATATCTTTATCCAACCAGATAAGTATTTTTTTCACTGGTTAGTTGTCAGCCTAAGTTCAACAAGTTATTAATCTGTCTTTAGGACCCAGTGGTTTTTCTTTTTAATATCCAAATAAAATAAAAATTGCTATCGTACATGACATGATTTGGGGTTAGACATAATCAGAAAAACATCCAGTTAGGTTTATCAAATAAGATTTTCAGGTTCCAGATCTTGAATGAGGCAAAGGCATTTCACCTTGTAGGGCATAGTTCATGGGACATAATCTTTCGTTTTTGTCACCCTCTTTTGTAATAACATTTTAAGTCCTCATTTATTTTTGGTATGCAATGAGGAAGGCGGTGGTTTATAAATTCTCTCCCTAAAATAAAACCTACCCAACAATAATGGTTTGAAAAGGGGTAGTGATCTTGAATATATTGTTGCTAAATGCAAACATAAACACTCTCTCTGCTTGATATTAAATATGCCACATCTATAGTATTTTTAAATTGACATCTTGGAATTTTTGTAATTCTCTTATGTTCTTGGTCCTCTGTAGTTGAGGTAACAAAATGACTTACTTCCATAGATTAGTTCACCTATAGTAGGTAGGAGATTATATACAGGAAAGACAATAAAATTATTTTTCAACTTTTATAGTTGTAAATATTTTAATACAGGATATAAGTCAGCTAAGAAAGTATGCCGTATTTTATTTTAGCTCTTTCAAATAATTTGGTGTGTGGGGCAAAGAAGAAAAAGAGACCTAACATTCATGAAATTAACACATTGGATGATGTTTTCAAAGGAAACTTTTTAAAGATGGCAGAATTCAACAAAATGGGACAAGTTGTACTAACTCATGAAATGTTCCATGTAGATATAATGTGTTAATAAGGTTTTATGTTATTTTCATGTGCTATATATGTTTAAAAATTAAAAGAAACCTTGAAGAGTCTCTACGTGTGTGCTCCTTTCCCCCATCCTTGACCAAGTGTGCGTCCTGAAATGGTTATTGAAGGTAGAAACTGCATGTTCCTGGATTGATTAACCTGGTGTACATTTGGCAATGATACTTCTTGGCCACTTTAAAACAGTTGTCTAGTCTCACAAGGCAGTGTATGTGGCGGAAATATAATAGTATGGGCTTTGTAACCAGGTGGGTCCCAGTTTGAATCCTGGCACTTCATTCAAAATGTATTTATTGAGAGCTTGCTGAATGCCAGGCTCTGTACTAAGCTAGGCCATGTTTCTTGACTTTGAGCTGCTGTTTTTTATCTGTAAATCAGAAGTCACAGCACATTCTGGCAAGGGTCATTATGAGGATGAGGAAGAGTGTGTAAAAGGACTCCACAGATGTTCATCCCTGTGCTCCCTCTCCCCGCTCATTGAACAGCCAGTTCAGGAATGTCAATTACCTGGTGGGTTCTCTCTGAATTCCCAACAGTCAGCAGGAAAGCTGGATGGTAGCCCCCATATGATAAGAATTCTGTTTTTGCAACGAAGCACATCTGTGTATTTGATAGTTTTTGTATATCAAACACCAGGTTCTATTATAAGAAAAATACACATGAGGTTCTTATTTTTTAAAAAGGTGACCGTTTTTACCCGCTCACAGCAGTCGCTGCTAGGAGAGGGGCGGTGTGGCTATGAGAGGCTCGGCCTTCCACGCAGTGCCAGACCCTCGTCTGGTTTCAGAGCTGCCAGAGGGAGGAGGAGAGTCCGTGGAGAACGGCAGAGCCCAGACCTGTACACCTGAAGGTACCGGGTGTACACACTGTGCACGGCTGTGGAATGGTAAACATGGGAGCTGGTTATAGGAATACTCCCTCCAAATCCGGTGACTGTAAACAGATGGTTGGACCTTGTTAGAGACTCTCTTTACAGGGTTGTAAAAAGCAAAACTACCTTAATCTGAAATGCAGTTGTTTATTCCCACACTTAGTGAAATAATGTACTGTATTATAAAAAATTTCCTTTAAAATGAATAGAAGGAAATACCAGCTAAAAACCGTTAGTGGGACCCAAGCGGCATGGCTCAGTGGTTGAGCATCAACCTATGAACCAGGAGGCCCTGTGGTTCGATTCCTGGTCAGGGCAAATGCATGAGTTGCAGGCTTGATCCCCAGTATGGGGCGTGCAAGAGGCAGCTGATCAATGATTCTCATCATTGATGTTGCTCTCTTCTCCCTCTCTTAAATCAAAAATATATTTAACAATAAATAAGAATAAAAACTTAGTGGGCAAAATATTTTATGTAGACTTGGCGCCATCTGCTGGTTGTGTAATGTAACACTTGTCATGAAACAGGTACAGAAAAGTGTAGGACTAGTATGCATGTTTTAAGAGAAAATGGGAGAAATCCAGAGAGAAAGAACTCAAGAGTGCTAACTGCACTTCTTTAGCGTTGTGATGGTCGCTGCAGGCAGTAACGGAACAGAATTCCTGGTTCTTCCTTCCCTTGCTCATCACATCTCCACTATTCCTTCCACATCTCCTTCCTCTGACGCCTCGGGAGGTTTTCACTTGGGTCCCCTCCTCCTGTCCAGGGTGATTAACACTCCCAATTTCTCACGTGGGCAACAAGGAACTGCTTGAAACCTCCAGCATCCCTCTTTCCTGGCTGTGCTCACACTGTCGCCTTGGCCTGTGGAAGTCTTACCTGTTCTCCCACTTCCTCTCCCGGCTTTTACCTTTACCTTGTGGATCAGCTGTCCCCTTCTCCGGGAAGCCTGCCTGACCAGACCTCTGTGGTCTGCTGTGGTGTTTGATCCTGTAAAAGCCGCCTCTTCAGCTTTGGGAATCTCTTATTGAGATATGAGCTACTTGAACATAGGGTTTATGCCATGTTTCTGTGCTCCTCTTAGTGCGGTGCCAGCCTGGCACATAGTAGGTGCTCAGTAAATGCTGCATGAAGGGATAACATGGAAAAGAACTGGTCCAAACATAGGGAAAAAATTTAAAATTAGGGTGGTTGGTGGTCCTATTGGGTGACTGTTGCTGTTTGCTGTTTCTACTACATACTTAATTCATTCCCCAAATGGGTCAACACATCTTTTGGGTCTCACACACTATTTGGGGTGTTCTGGGGACCAAATACAAAATATTAGTCTGTAGATGAGGAGTGGGTTTGAATCTCTGCTCTACCACTTACTAGCTGGGCAATTTATTTAACATTTAAACAGCTTCTCCCGTGCAAAATGGAGATATAAAAGGTATACAGGGGTGGGGGCAAAAGTAGGTTTATAGTGGTAATACAAATAATGCGATACTAAATTAATAATGCAAGAATATTTTGTGTACTCGCACTACAAACCTACTTTTGCCCACCTTTGTACTCCTCTGTTAAAGAGAAAAACCACAAGCACCAAATGGCCTCATTTGTGCCCAAGTCCTTGATAACCATGCCTCGGTTTAATAGCCAGCCTAATTGTCTCATTCTCTCCCAGAAATAGAATCTTAATGAGACTGGACTTTCCTGGTCAACACCAGTAAGGTAATCTGTCACACAGGCCCTCTCCGTGCGCTGTGGGAAGAAGGGGGGATCTACATAGTAAAATCCCCTGAAAGATGCTATGGTCTAAAAAACAATCCTTTCTCCTCTTTAGTGAGCAGCTCCTCTGCCCCATCCTTCTCCCTATAAAACCCTTCCGTTTTGCACAACCCTGCTGAGTGCCCCTGCTGGATCAGATGCTGCTCCATTCATGAATCGCTTAATAAAGTCCATTTAGGTCTTTAAATCTACTCGGTTGAACTCTGTCCTTTAGCAGCTCGAAGTGGTGTTTTAAAGGGGGAAAAATGAGGTAATGCATGTAGCACACATGAAACAGGCGTGCCCTGGAGGTTGCCGTTTGCTCTTTTTGTTGTGGTTCTTGCTCAAGTCGGATCAGCACTGAGTGCGATGGATGGGCTTCCTATTCTCCACACAGTAATTTGTTTATTCTTTAGGGGCCGACTGTGCCTTCCAGAGTCTGTTACCAGTCATTGGCTATGCCCATTTGGAAAGCTTTTACTATTGTGCTATTTCTCTGATGATGAATATCTTTAATTGTAAGAAGCCTGCTGCAGACAGAAAATGCACACAGCCCAAATACATGACTGTAGCTCAGCCTGCGGGATTGCTGGTGGCTAGAGTGTGGTGGCATCCCGTGGTGCTAAGCTTTACAACTTTGCATTTACTGGGGTGGACTTTCCCTCCAGGAATTAAATAAGAACCCTGACACCCAGACCTCCACAGCGCGGCTTATGACCAGTGTCTCCCCAGTGAACACAAAGCAAAGTGGAGGAATCACTCCTTAGCACCCAAACTGCCTGGGTGGATGGCCTTCACCAAGGTGGGGAGGTAGATGGAGGTCTAGAAAGGGAGGGACCAGGAGAGGTCCTTTTCCACTGGGGCCAGGTGGAGAGGGAGAGGAAGGACCGT